TAAAAAAGTTTTTTATTTTGATGTAGTCCCATTTGTTTATTTTCTCTTTAGCTTCCATTGCCCTAGGGGCAGTATCAGTGAAGAAGTTCTTTTGGCATATGTCTGAGATTTTGCTGCCTGTGGATGCCTCTAGTATTTTTATGGTTTCCTGTCTTATGTTTAAGTCCTGTATCCATTTTGAGTTTATTTTTGTGTATGGTGTAAGTTGGTGATCTAGTTTCATTCTTTTGCATCTATCTGTCCAATTTTCCCAACACTGTTTATTGAAGAGACTGTCTTGACTCCATTATATGTTCGTGCCGCCTTTGTCAAATATTAATTGAGCATAGTGATTTGGGTTGATATCTGGGTTCTCGATTCTATTCCATTGGTCTATATGTCTGTTCTTGTGCCAGTATCAGGCTGTTTTGAGAACAGTGGCTTTGTAATACAGTTTGAAATCTGATATTGAGGTACCTCCTACTTTATTTTTCTTTCTCAGGATTGCTGTGGCTATTTGGGGTCTTTTTTTGTTCCAGATGAATTTTTGGAGAGTTCTTTCTAGGTCTGTGAAATATGCTGTTGTTATTTTAATGGGGAGTGCATTGAACCTATAGATTGCTTTAGGAAATATGGACATTTTGATGTTGATTCTACCAATCCATGAACATGGTATGTTCTTCCATCTGTTTACATCTTCCTCTATCTTTTTTCAGTGTCGTGTAGTTTTCCGAGTATAGGTCTTTTACCTCCTTAGTTAAGTTTATTCCTAGGTATCTTAAGTTTTTTGGTGCGATGGTAAATGGGATTGCTTTTTTTTGTCTCTGTTTCTGTAAATTCACTATTGGTGTATAGAAATACCATAGATTTCTTGGCATTAATTTTGTATCCTGCTACATTGCTGAATTCATTTATTAAATCTACTAGTTTTTTGATGGAGTCTTTTGGGTTTTTTATGTACAATATCATGTCATCTGCAAATAAAGACAATTTTACTTCTTTTCCACTTTGGATACCTTTTATTTCTTCTTCCTGTCTAATTGCAATGGTTAGTACTTCCAGTACTATGTCAAACAGGAGTGGTGAGAGTGGGCATCCCTGTCTTGTTCCTGTTCTTAGAGGGAATGGTTTTAGTTTTTGCCCATTGAGTATGATGTTTGCTGTGGGTTTATCATATATAGCTTTTATTATGTTGAGAGTTGCCCATTCTTTGATTGGGTTGTTTATCATCTTTTTGTTAAGCTGCATGAGTTTCCTATAAATGTTGGAGATTAAACCCTTATCGTTGATATTGTTGGCAAATATCTTCTCCCATGCAGTGGGCTTTCTTGTTGTTTTATTGATGGTTTCCTTTGCTATGCAAAAACTTTTTATTTTGATGTAGTCCCATTTGTTTATTTTCTCTTTAGCTTCCATTGCCCTAGGAGTAGTATCAGTGAAGAAGTTCTTTCAGCATATGTCTGATATTTTGCTGCTTGTGGATTCCTCTAGTATTTTCATGGTTTCCAGTCTTATGTTTAAGTCCTTTATCAATGTTGAGTTTGGATTGTTGTGTTTTCATTGTCATTTGTTTCCAGGATGTTTTTAATTTCTTCTTTGATCTCTTTGGTAACACAATCATTGTTCAATAGCGTATTATTCAGTATCCAAGTGTTTCAATTTTTTAAATTGTTTTTATTGTAGTTTATTTCTAATATGCCATTGTGATCTGAGAAAATGCTTGATATAATTTCAATTGTCTGAATTTGGAGAGGCTTTGCCTATGTTCCAATATGTGGTCTATCTTTGAAAATGTCCCATGTGCACTTCAGATGAATGAATATTCTGTGACTTTGGGGTGAAATGTTCTGAAGATGTCAATTAAATCCATCTGATCTGGTGAGATATTTAGGATAGCAGTTTCTTTGCTGATTTTTTTGTCTAGAAGATTTATCCAGTAATGCCAGTGAGGTATTAAAGTCCCCTACTATGATTGTATTGTTGATCTCTCCCTTGATATCTTCCAGAATTTTTTAATGTATTTGGGTGCTCCTGCATTGGGTGCATATATGTTTATCAGGGTTATATCCTCTTGTTGTGTTGATCCCTTTTGTATTATGAAATGACCTTCCTTATTTCTTGTTATGGTCTTCACTTTGAGGTCTATTTTGTCAGATATAAGTATTGCTACTCCAGCTTTTTTTTTTTTTTTTTTTTTTTTCAATTTCCATTTGCCTGGAAAATATTTTTCCATCCCTTCACTTTCAGCCTGTGAGTTCCTTATTCTGAGGCGGATCTCTTATAGATAGCATATAAATGGGTCATGTTTTCTTATCCATTCAGCCACTCGATGTCTTTTAATTAGAGCATTTATTTGGTTTACATTTAAAGTTATTAATAGGTACTTTGTAGCCATTTTAATTTTTTCTTGTGCCTGTGTTCCTTCTTATTTCTTCTTTTTACACAAGTCCCTTTAGCATTTCCTGCATTGCTGACTTGGTGGGGATAAATTCCCTTAGCTTTTTTTTTTTTGTCTGTGAAGTTCCTTACTTCTTCAACTTTGAATGATAGCCTTGCTGGATAGAGTATTCTTGGATTCAGCCCTTGCTTTGCATCACTTTGTAAACTTTCTTCTATTCCTTTCTGGCCTGATGTGTTTCTCTTGAGAAATTATTTGATAATCTAATGGGAGTTCCTCTTGTATGTAATTCTCTGTCTCTCCCTTGCAGCTTTTAAGTTTCTATCTAAAAAAAAAAAAGAAAGAAAAAAGATTCTATCTTTGTCCTGAATGTTTGCCATCATAATTATGACATGCTTGGTGTGGGCCCTTTTGGGTTCATCTTGTTTGGGACTCTCTGTGCTTGTGTTTTTTCTCCACATCATGTAAGTTTTCTGACATTAGTTCTTCAAATAGGTTTTCTAACCCTTGTTCCTCTTCCTGTCATTCTTGCATCCTTATTATTTATATGTTGCTTCATTTCATGTTGTCCCAAAGCTCCCTTAGGCTCTCCTCCTGTCTTTTTAAATTTTTTTTTCTCCAACTGCAGTTCAGTTTTGGGTGTGTTTTGCTTCCTTGTCTTCTAATTTGCTTATTTGGTCCTCCGCTTCTCTTAGTCTACTGTTGAAACTTTTTGGAGCTGTCTTACTGGAGCTGCAGTTTATTTGGTTAAACTGCTACAGGGCAGACCATTTTATATGCAAAAGCCTGTGTGGAGCTTGGATGTGTTTGTAGATTGTGCAGGGTGGAGTCTCAGCGTGTCACGAGGCTACAGCGGGGCAAACAGCGATGGCTGCCATCAGCCTTCTCTGCCTTTCCGCGTTTCCAAGTCTCCGCGTCCTGCGCTCCAGTGCAGTAAACAATGATTGCTGGGTGCACCTCTGCAAAATGTCACCCTCACTTTCCGACCCGTTGGCCGACAGACCAGCTTCTCCCCGTAGGTGTCTGGGTCCCCCGAGTCTCCCCAGAAACTGGATTTCAGAGTGATCGGGAGCTTATTTCCCTTCAGGAAAAAAAAGCAGCACATTCACGTTTCTCTGTACCTCAGCTTTTCAGCACTTGTGCTCTTACCTCTTTCCTTCTTGTAGAACTTCCACTCAGGCCGCTTTCCCATGGTCCTGGGTGATAGACATTTTGTCTTTTAATTGTAGTTTTGAAATTGTTGTGCGAGGTGGCAGTTTAGGCGTTTACCTTTGCCACCATCTTGGTTTCTCTCTATCACTTTCTTCTTGATTCTTACATAAGTTGTTTATTTTTTTCATCCAGTTTATGACTTTTTCTGAATTCCTTTTCTGACATATTGCATGCCTCCGTTTCACTTAGCTCCTTTTCTGGCGATTCCTCCTTTTCTTATTTTTGGGGGTTTCTTTGTCTCCCCATTTTTGCTCTCACTGAAGGATCTAGGTGTTAAGTCATGGTGGGGGGGCTTCTCCTCAGGTGGCAGCTGCTGCTTCTCAGTTGGTGGCAGCTCCTCAGGTGGGTGCTGCTTGCAGCAGTGGTGGCTCCTCTGACTGGTGGAAGCAGGCTGCTCACACAGCTGCTGCTCCTTGGACGGGAGTGGGCTGCTCACACGGCTGCTGCATGCACGGCTGCTGCTTGTGTGGTCACGGCACCCTGGGCTAACATATTGGGCTGGCTAGAGAGGAACTTGCTTTGGAATTCACAGGAGGACCTTGAGGCTTTTAAAAATATTTACTTACTCTGATAGCTTTCTGTATACACGTGCACCCACCCCCAGCTCCCCTTTCTTCCCTTTCTTCCCTTCTAGAAATGAGGGAGCCACTGATATAGACAGAAGTATATAGCATGTGTTTTGGGAAACAAGGTTAATAAAACCCTAACTTACTTGAAATTGGATTGGATTGAAGCATAATCTAAAAAGTGGTGAAATGGAAAAAGGACACTCTAGTTAAGGAATATAGTTGATAGGCAAAAACACGAAGATAGGAAAATGTGTATATCTAGGGAAAGTAGGAAGATAAGGACTGCTGAATTATAAAAGATTTTTAAGTACAGAGCAGAAGAGTAGAATTCATTTTATCACTATAAAGGTTTTTGCACAGGTATCTAACAATAAAGTGCCATTTCTGAAGGATGATTACCCTTAGATATCCTTCATTCTGAAGGATGATTACCCAAGGTCCTCCTGTGAATTCCAAAGCAAGAGGAAGAAAAGGTTAGTTGTGGTAATAGAATCTGGCTAAGGAAGTAGCTCTGGGAATAGGTGACAGACTGTTAAAGGAAAAATCTCAATAGAATGTGTTTAAGGATGCATGTTAAAGAATGAAAGTGGGAGACTACTTAAATGAGTTAAAGTTAACTTGGAATATTGACAGAATATTGTCTGAGTTATCTGTCATATTCATAAAAATAGCCTGAGGCCAAGGAGAAATACTGGACTTGGTTAAAACGTCAAAATGGGAAGTAGGGAGGGGAAGGGTGAGAAAGAACTCCTTTATAGTGAGCAGAGAAAGCATTGAAACTGTGAGATTGAGTTTACTTGTTTGTGTTTAGAATTCTGGTTTTATTTCTTTTTATGTAGACCATGGATTCTTATGACATCCCAGAATCAACATCCTCAAGGCTTAAAGATCACTTTATAGGTGCCACCCCTCTGCAGAAGCGGTTGGAATCAGTCAGGAAGCTGACTTCATTTGTCCCGCCTTCACCTCAAAGGAAAATTCCCCAATGTTCACAGTTGCAGGTATGCTTTTTGTGTTCCTCAATAATTGAGAATAGATGTGAACAAACCATCTAATTTTTTGTTACTATTTCTAGTACGTTCAGTGGTTTCTCCATCCTTCAGGTAATAAAATAAATGAGAAACAGTAAAAAGAAAGTACCTCCTTTGTTATGTCTTTTAAAGCCCTTTGATCTGGAACATTGCCACAATATTTCCTTGTCTTTTACGACATTGACATTTTTGAAGACTATAGTTTTCTCTTATTTTAAAAAATAGAATATGCCTCATTTTGTATTTGTCTGCTATTTCCTCACAATTAGGAGGTTGAAGTTGTGTATTCTTGGCTGGGATACTATATAGGTGCTATTGTGTCCTGGGGGAATGATATCTGGTACCACGTAGTTAATGTTAATTTTGTTCACCTTATCAAGGTGTTGCCCAATAATTACTGTTTTAGTTCCCTCTACAACTAATAAGCATTCTGTTGGAAGATACTTTAAGATAATGCAAATACCATGTTCCTCATCAAAATTTCCCCCTAGACTTAATATCCATTGATAATTTTTGCCTGCCCCCATCTTTATCATGATGGTTGCAAAATAATGACTTTCCAATCTCCCTTTACTACGTATTTACCAGTCATATATATATATATATATTTTAATATATTTTATTGATTTTTACAGAGAGGAAGAGAGAGGGATAGAGAGCTAGAAACGTCGATGAGAGAGAAACATCGACCAGCTGCCTCCTACACACCCCCTACCGGGGATGTGCCCGCAACCAAGGTACATGCCCTTGACCGGAATCGAACCCGGGACCCTTCAGTCCGCAGACCGACGCTCTACCACTGAGCCAAACCGGTTTTGGCACCAGTCAGATTTTGGAATTCTATTTTAAGCCCTTCTCTTTCCTCCTCTATTTATTTATTTGAGACTTGAACTCACGAATTCCTGTTTTTCATATTTTTGTAATTAATTACCAACTTATTTTGCTGTTTAAATTGGCTCAGATTTATCTGGTGGCATCATGCTCTTTTTTTTTTTTTTTTTTTTAAGTTTTCTCTTTGTGATGAGAATTTAGGATTTATACCCTTTTTTAATACATTTTATTGATTTTTTACAGATAGGAAGAGAGAGGGATAGAGAGCTAGAAACATCAATGAGAGAGAAACATCTACCAGCTGCCTTCTGCACAAAACCCCTATTGGGATATATCCGCAACCAATGTACATGCCCTTGACTGGAATCGAACCTGGGATCCTCAGTCCGCAGGCCAACTCTCTGTCCACTGAGCCAAACCAGTTTTGGCCATGCTCTGGTTTGATCATTTGCACACGACCCAGACAGTATAAAACATTAATTTGCAATTTTACTGGCTTTAGGCCAGTGGTTGGCAAATTGCAGTTCGAGAGCCACATGCGGTTCTTTGGCCCCTTGAGTGTGACTCTTCCACAAAATACCACGTGCAGGTGCGCATGTACAGTGAGATTGAAACTTTGTGACCCTTGTGCAGAAGTTGGTTTTTGGCTCTCAAAAGAAATTTCAATCGTTGTATTGTTGATATTTGGCTCTTTTGACTAATGAGTTTGCCAACCACTGCCCTAGGCAGTTTGATGTGTGATTTTGAGTCACTTAGCTAGGAACCTGGCTATAAGTCACTCAGACCTTCCTGGTAACTTTGTTTTCTTAACACTATTATGTGCACAGTATCCTTTGGGATATGAGAAAAGTTTTGCTTCTTTGTGAAAACTTTCTTAAAGAAAAATTACTAGTGCTGCTAATGAAAGTGATGGTTCCTAACCAGTAAACAGAAACTGTAAAAGTTTGGATTGTCCAATTCAGTACAATATATGTTTATGATACAAGTAATTTTGCTATGACTTTTGCCTAATAATAAGAAAAAATGTTACAACTTTTATATAAAAGTTGATAACTATTTCCATGAGTAATTTTGTCTGAGCAAATGTTTTTGTAAGTAGACAACTAGTGAAAGTTCTAAAAGATAGTGGTGAGACTATCTCAGGAAGTATGAATTGTATAGAAAAATTCAATTTAGGATAAAACCAGAAGCTATAGAGAATCTGAAGACTCTTGCTCAGTAATGACATAGTGCTACTATAGGTAGTGTTATTTTTTTTTAAATAAATATATTTTTATTGATTTCAGAAAGGAAGGAGAGAGGAATAGAGAGATAGAAACATCTATGATGAGAGAGAATCATTGATTGGCTGTCTCCTGCACACCCCTTACTGGGGATCAGGCCCACAACCTGGGCATATGCCCCTGACTGGAATTGAGCAAACTAGCTAGGGCTTTTGTTTTTGATGGTACCTGTGGTTCTTAATAGAGCATGGCAAAAATACTTCCAGGTATCTTTTTATTTAATCTACTGAGTTAGGCTTTGTGCCGTAGGATGGATTTACTGCCAGGCACTTTTATTTATTTATTTTAAAGGAATTTTTATTTTTATTTTTATTTATTTATTTTTTTTTATGAGGTGATTTTTTAAAAGATAAAATAATATTTATTGATTTGTTTATTCTTTGTGAGGACTTTTACACATATTACCTTTCCTTGTGACAACCTTGGGAAAGAATGTTTTAGGTAGTTGAGGAAACTTGGGTTCAGAGAAATTCAGCGGCTTGCCTGGGGTCACATGACAAAACAGATCTACTCCAGGATTCAAACTCTGGTCTGTCCAGCATTGCAGCTTCTGCCTTATTCACTCTCACTGCCTGACCCTGAGAGGGAAGCAGCCACCACCCAGTGCTTACTTATAGCATCTCTTACCTCTTTCTCAAATTTTGTTTTATTTCATACTCAAGATGTGAATATCCACCACTGGTGTTAAATAAAATTCTGTTATTTTAATACTGTCCTTTAGCTCATGGGAAAAGGGCAATTGATGGACTCTGTGTGCTCATATTAGTATTTTTTTTTTTTTCTTTCCTCCATTTTTTTTTTTTTTTTTTAAGCAATCTTTATTGTTCATATTATTACAAAGATTCCTCATTTCTTCCCCCCTCCACCAGGTTCCCACCCCACCCTCCGTTCCCCCCCCATCACCCATTGTCCTCATCCATAGGTGCAGTTTATGTTCAGTCTCTTCTTCCCTCAATTTCCCCAATAGTAAATCCCTTTTCAGATAGTAAATCAGTTACTTAGCATTTTCTCATATCAATAATACCTCCACATGCCCAATGATACACTTCACACAAAAGACATTTCCCACTAGGTCAACCAGCCTCATCCAGGCCCCACCCAAGGCACTCACAGATCAACACCCCAGTCCTAAACTAACTCAACACATCCAGATCTAAGCCTTCATCACTTGATTCAGCAGACACTCAAGTTCCCACGAAAGTTTCCAGCCATGTCTGAGAAGCAGCCGTGGGGCAGGGGCAGGCAAGGAGCGAGCTGTTCTGGGCCTGGCTGCTCAGGGCCTGGCCTCTGTTGCTCTGGTTCATTCCACAACCAGCTGCTCCGGGTCTGGTCACTGCCGCTCCCAACCTAGTTGCTCTGGGCTTGGCTGCTGCTGCTCCGGGCCTGGCCGCTCCAAGCCTGGCCGCCGCTGCTCCGGGCCTGGCCGTTCCCGACCCGGCTGCTCCCCCGGGCCTGGCCGCTCCCAGCCTGGCAGCCGCTGCTCCGGGCCTGGCCGCACCCGACCCGCCTGCTCCCCCGGGTCTGGCCGCTCCCAGCCTGGCAGCCGCTGCTCCGGGCCTGGCCGCACCCGACCCGCCTGCACCCGACCCGACTGCTCCCCCGGGCCTGGCCGCTCCCAGCCTGGCAGCCGCTGCTCCGGGCCTGGCCACACCAGCCCTGCCTGCTCCCCCGGGCCTGGCCGCTCCCAGCCTGGCAGCCGCTGCTCCGGGCCTGGCCGCACCCGACCCGCCTGCTCCCCCGGGCCTGGCCGCTCCCAGCCTGGCAGCCGCTGCTCCGGGCCTGGCCGCACCCGACCCGCCTGCTCCCCCGGGCCTGGCCGCTCCCAGCCTGGCAGCCGCTGCTCCGGGCCTGGCCGCACCCGATCCGCCTGCTCCCCCGGGCCTGGCCGCTCCCAGCCTGGCAGCCGCTGCTCCGGGCCTGGCCGCACCCGACCCGCCTGCACCCGACCCGACTGCTCCCCCGGGCCTGGCCGCTCCCAGCCTGGCAGCCGCTGCTCCGGGCCTGGCCGCACCAGCCCCGCCTGCTCCCCCGGGCCTGGCCGCTCCCAGCCTGGCAGCCGCTGCTCCGGGCCTGGCCGCACCCGACCCGCCTGCTCCCCCGGGCCTGGCCGATAAAGGAATTTTTATTTTTCTTTCTTTTTTTTTTTTTTTTAAATATATATTTTATTGATTTTGTACAGAGAGGAAGGGAGAGAGAGAGTTAGAAACATTGAGAGAGAGTCATCGATCAGCTGCCTCTTGCACACCCCCTACTAGGGATATGCCCGCAACCAATGTACATGCCCTTGACCGGAATTGAACCTGGGACCTTTAAGTTCCCAAGCCGACGCTCTATTCATTGAGCCAAACCAGTTTTGGCAGCTGCCAGGCACTTTTAAAAAAGTATGATAATTAAATCCAAAGTCTATAACTTTTCTACAAGTGAAACATAAAATTCATCCATTAATATTTTTGAACACCTATTCTAGATGACACTGTTCTAAGTGCTAGAAGGTAGTAGTGAAAAAAATAGAATTCCTGATTTCATCAAACTCATACTCCAGTAAGAAAAATAGACAGTAAAAATCACACACAGCCTATATAATAAAAGCCTAATATGCAAATTGACTGAATGGTGGGACAATCAGTTGGGAGGGGGCAGGGCCAGCGAGTGGGCAGAGGGAGGGGATGGTGATTGGGGGGGCGGCGGCGATTGGCGGTGGCAGAGGGGCAATTGGGGGACAGGGCTGGCTACTCACCTGCCAGTGCCGTCCCTCTATCGGCCCATTGGTCCCCTCCCACAGAGGGAGGCCAGACTTCAGCTTAGGCCCGCTCCCTCGAGGACCCTTAGTCTGCAAGAGGGTGCAGGCTGGGCTGAGGGACCCCCTCCAAGTGCACGAATTTTCGTGCACTAGGCCTCTAGTATATAATATCAGATAGTAATAAATATAAAGCATGTTAGGAGTTAGAGAGTAACAAGTTGGAGTGGGTGCAGGTGCTACTTTAGGTACAGTGGCCTTTTGAGTGACATTTAGGCAAAACCTGATTGGAGGAGAGGGACAGGCCATGTGAGCACCTGTGGGAGAGCATTCTAAAAGAAAGTACACCAAAAGCAAAGACCTGTTCAAAGATCTTCAGATCCTGCAAACTCTAGTTTGGCTGGTGTGCAGAGATCACCTTAGATTTGTACTGTATTAAATACTTAATATACTATGATTAAATTCTTATTTACTAAACTTTCCTAATTCTTAAACTTCATTTGCTGTGATTTTTATTTATTTTATTTTTAGGAAGATGTTGATCCTCAAAAGGTTGCGTTCCTTCTACATAAGCAATGGACTCTGTATAGTTTAACTCCTCTGTATAAGTTCTCCTACACTAATCTCAAAGAGTACTCTAAATTTCTGAGTGCATTTATTGTTGCTGAAAAACAAAAAGGACTTGCTGTGGAAGTGGGAGAAGACTTGAATATCAAGGTGATTTTCTCTACTCTCCTGGGAATGAAAGGAACACAAAGGGACCCTGATGCATTTCTCGTCCAGGTATAGTATAAAGGCAATACTTGCGTGCTAGGGAAAAGAATCTGCATTGTCTTGGTTTGGACATTGTGCTAATTCTTACTGTTTTTGAAATTCTTTTTTTTTTTTTTTTTAATTTTTTAATTGATTTTTTTACAGAGATGAGAGGAGAGAGAGGGATAGAGAGTTAGAAACATCGATGAGAGAGAAACATCGATCAGCTACCTCCTGCACACCCCCTACTGGGGATATGCCTGCAACCAAGGTACATGCTCTTGCCTGGAATCGAACCCGGGACCTCTCAGTCTGCAGGCAGACGCTCTACCCACTGAGCCAAACCGGTTTTGGCTGTTTTTGAAATTCTTAAGCTTGTGATTTATAACTTCTTTTGTCTTATTTGACCAAATTTAAAATAGATAATTACCAACTTAAAAAATAGTTTTTCTTATTATTTCAGAGTAGGTTTACAGTTGTGAGTAGTGAAACAGTGTATTCTTGTATTATTATTTATTATTGTATTTTCCATATGAACAACTGTAAACCTACTTTTGCCCCACCCTGTATAATCGTGTATTTTAGAAAACCTAAAAATACATAAAGTACAAAAAAAGTTTAAAAACCACAGTTCAACATCTTGGTATATAATACATCTTTTTGGTAGTAGATGATCTTAATAGGTCTATACCTATTAAAGAAATTGGATCAAGAATTAATAACCTTCCAAAATAGAAAGTACCAGGCCCAGATAGGTTCACTGAGGAATTCTTCCAAGCACTTGAGGAAAATAAACCAATTATCTACATTCTCTTTTAGAGGATAGAAGCAGAGGGAATACTTTCTAACCCATTCTGTGAGGCCAGCATTACCCTAATATCAAAACTAGATTAACAGGCTATAACAAAAGAAAACTACAAATCAATATCTCTCATGAACAGATACATGCATTTAGCTATCTTTATCTATTTAAAATTGGGATCATATTGCCCTACTTATTTGCATTATGGCTTTTTTGCTAATAAGGAATTTTACAGGTTTATGGTTTTTACTGGGATTAAATTCCTAGAAGTAGAATGTTAACAACAAAATATGTAACAGCCCAGCTTGTGTGGCACGATGGTGGTGTGACATATGAACCAGGGAGTCACGATTCCATTTCCTCTCAGGGCACATGCCTGAGTTATGGGCTCGATTCCCAGTATGGGGGCATGCAGAAGGCAGCCGATCAGTGATTCTCATCATTGATACTTCTCCCTCTCCCTTTTCTGAAATCAATAAAAAAATATATTTTAAAAAAAGTAACATTTTTACATTTTGTGATACAGATCAAGTTACTCTCAGAAATGTAACCTTTTACATTCCTTCCTATGTGCAGTGTATAAAAGTAATAGAACCAATTTTTGCTTTATTCAGAAACTGAATTTTATTCATTCCTGTTACATCTATCTCATTTATCATCTTAGTCATTGATAAATGAAATTTTGAAACAGTTGAACAGACCTAATTTGTTTATTTGTTATATATCAGAGGTCAGCAAACCATGGACTGCATGGCCAAGTCTGACTCACAGTTTATTTCTGAAACAGATTTTCTTGGAGCAGAGCCCCTTTCATTTAAAAAAAAAAAATATATTTTATTGATTTTTTACAGAGAGGAAGGGAGAGGGATAGAAAGCCAGAAACATCGATGAGAGAGTAGCATCGATCAGCTGCCTCTTGCACGCCCCCTACTGGGATGTGTCCGCAGGCCAACGCTCTATCCATTGAGCCAAACTGGTTTTGGCCCCTTTCATTTGTTTATGACTTTTCTATGGCTGCTTTTGTGCTACAGTATCAAAGCTGAGTATTTGCTATAGCCCACAAAGCCTAAAATATTTACTATTTGGACCTTTACAGAAGAAGTTTGTTGAGCCATGGTATATATAGGTCATGGTATTTGCATGGATCTCAAGGTGTCTAGGATTAGATTCAGTTGCATATGACAGAAAGCTTACCGTATTTTCTGGCGTATAAGATGACCGGGCGTATAAGACGACCCCCCTAATTTTACAGTTAAAACATAGGTTTAGGCTTATATTCGCTGTATAAGACTACCCCCCACTTCCGAGGCAACACCAGTTCTTTTTTTTAATAGACCGTCTCTCTCTCTCTCTCTCTCTCTCTCTCTCTCTCTCTCTCTCTCTCTCTTTTCTTTTTTAATATATTTTATTGATTTTGTACAGAGAGGAATGGAGAGAGATAGTTAAAAACATCGATGATAGAGTGTCATCGATCAGCTGCCTCTTGCACACCCCCTACTGGGATATGCCTGCAACCAAGGTACATGCCCTTGACAGGAATCAAACCCGGGACCTTTCAGTCCCCAAGCCGACGCTCTATCCATTGAGCCACACTGGTTTCGGCTAGACCGCCTCTTTGACTCTGGCCAATCTGAGCAGGGTTTTTTTTGTTTCAAAAGTCGTCTTATACGCCGGAAAATACAGTAAATAACAGGAAATTTAACTTTATCTTCTAAAGAGGTGTATGTAGGTAAGCTATATGCTTTATGATATCCTATCTAATAAAGGGAATATGCAAATTAACTCTCACACCGTCGCAAAGTGGCGCCCAAAGCCAATAAAGAGGGAATATATGCTAATTGTCCCACCCTCAAAGATGGCGGCGCCCAGTCCTCTCAGCCCCATTGGGACAACAGGTGTGGCAAGGTCAGGCCTGCCTCCAGAGTCCCCCAATCACTTCAGCCCCAAGTTGCCCAGGGCCAGCCTGAGGTGCAGGCAAGCCTCAGATGGCGGCAGCCCAGCCACCCAGGGCTTCCCGAGGCTCAGGTAACCAGGGCTGGCCACGGCTTGCACTGCCGGCAGTAGCAGCAGCTGAGGTGTGATGGAGGTGTCACCTTCCCCTGATCGCTGGGTCAACTCCCACCCTTGAGGGCTCCCGGACTGTGAGAGGGGGCAGGCTGGGCTGAACGATGTTCCCCCCTCCACCAATGCATGAATTTTCATGCACCAGGTCTCTAGTTATTAATAATAGGCCCCTTCTCCCTTCTCTTTCATAGTTGGTGTGTGGCTTCCATCCTTAAGGTGACTTTATAGTCTAAGATGGCTCTTGGAGCTCTAGATATATGCAAATTTCTGACAGGAATTAGAAGGAAAATGGGGAGGGCCAACAGGATGCCTGCCCCGTGTAAATCTTTAATAAACTTTCTGAGGCTCAGAAACTTTTTTATTTTTTGTTGTTGTTAATCCTCACCCAAGAATATTTTTTCATTGATTTTTAGAGAGAGTGGAAGGGGAGAGGGAGAGACAGAAACATCGATGTGAGAGACACATCAATTGGTTGCTTCCTACATGCATCCTGACCAGTGCAGGGTTACCTGCAACCAAGGTACATGCCCTTGACCAGAATTGAACCTGGACCTTCAGTTTGCGGGCTGATGCTCTATCCACTGAACCAAAATTTTAAAAAAATATTTTTATTGATTTCAGAGAGAGGAAGGGAGAGGAAGATAGAAACATCAGTGGTTAGAACCATTGATCGGTTGCCTTCTGCACACCCTCTACTGGGGATTAGCTCCACAACCCAGGTACGTGCCCTGACGGGTAATCAAATCTTTACCTCCTGGTTCATAGGTCAATGCTCAACCCCTGAGCCGCACTGGCTGGGCTCATTTTGCTTTTCAGTGTTAAACTTTTCAATATTTAAAATGTACCTAAATAAATGAAGCCCTACTAAAATCCTCACCTGAGCACATGCTTATAGTTCAAGCACATTGCATTTGGTGACTTTTTACTGCTCCTAAAGTTGAGGTTACCTCCCCCCCCCCATACTGTACCTGGTTGTACCATATTGGTATCCTTTATTTTACATTTTGATTGTACAAAGATCTTGCCATATACCTTGTCTCTCGTGTATAAAAATATAAGGAAAAAGGTCAGTGAACCTGATGAACCCTAATAATGATTAGGAATACTGTTCTTTGTTTTTTCATAAGTAATATAGTATCTTCTCAGTTTTAAATGTACTAATTAAATTTGAGGTGATACAATTTCGGAGTAAATGTACTTTTCAACTCAACGAACCTACTTTCTTTGTAGATTCTGTCAAAATCTCACTTGCCATCTGAGAACAGAGAAGGCAAAGTGTTGTGGACTGGTTGGTTCTGCTGTATATTTGGAGACAGTCTTTTGGAGACTGTTTCAGAAGATTTCACCTGTCTACCCTTATTCCTTGCAAATGGAGCAGAGACTAATACAGCCTTAATTGGAACCTGGTTTCAGAAAACTTTTGACTGTCATTTCAGTCCCTTAGCAATCAATGCATTTAATCTTTCCTGGATGGCGGCTATGTGGACTGCATGCAAAATGGACCATTATGTGGCTACTACTGAATTTCTCTGGTCTGTGCCATGTGGCCCTCAAAGTCTGGATATTTCTTATGCCATACATTCGGAGGATGCAAAAGCTCTGTGGGACAGTGTCCACAAAGCCCCTGGGGAAGTGACCCAGGAGGAAGTTGACTTGTTCATGGACTGCCTTTGTTCACATTTCCATAGGCATTTCAAAATTCACTTATCAGCCACAAGATTGGTTCGCGTTTCAACATCAGTAGCTTCAGCACATACTAATGGAAAAATAAAGGTTAGTTTGAACAAATCTAGTTAAGTAATTTTTCTTATTGTTGCAGTTTTCAAAATATATGTGATTGCATTTTCCACGTGGACTAACTACATTGAATGTCTGCCAGTAGATTTTATTTTATGCTTTATAAAATATTATAAAAAATTTTAGCCTTTTTTAATTTTATTTTATTTTATTGATTTTTCCACAGAGAGGAAGGGAGAGGGACAGAAAGCCAGAAACATCGATGACAGAGATAGATCAGCCAGCTGCCTCCTGCACACCCCCCACTGGGGATGTGCCCGCAACCAATGTGTACATGCCCCTGACCGGAATCGAACCTGGGACCTTAATAGTCCACAGACCAACGCTCCACCACCGAGCCAAACCAGCTTCGGCTAGCCTTTTTGATTCAGCTTTAAAAAAAAAAAAATTGATTCTTAGAGAGGAAGGGAGAGGGAGAGAGAAACATCAATGTGAGACAAAATATAAACCAGCTTTTTCCTGCATGCCCCCTACTGAGCATGTGCCATGATAAGAAATCGAACCAGCAGCTTTTCAGTGTACAGGATGATCCACAACCAACTGAGCCATCCTGGCCAGAGCTTGGTTCAGCTTTATTATGTAAGCATACTATGTGTTGTGTGCTACAGATTTTGGAAATAATACTAATAACTCTGTAGTAACTTTGAAACTTTGAAAATAATTTCTTGTCAAACTTTGACATAATTAATCAGATGGATTTTGTTAGATAAGGAAATTATAGCCAGAAACATATAACTAAGATAATTGTCTTCATATTTTAGGCTTTTCTATCCCTGTTGAAAAAGAATAGAGATATTGTTTTACTGTTTATAAAGTCCTTATTAGAGAAAGTATCAAAAACCAATTGAAAGTAGGCCCTCAAGTATATTAAAATATTTAAAATATATTAATATATAGCCACCATAAACAGTGATTACTGGCTTTGTCACTGTGCTAGGAATTTAACATACCTTAATTTTAATTAGCCAGGTTTCTACCATCTGCTTTGTTTCTACAAGACACTTTTGGAATTATATCTTTGAGGAGAAGGAAGCTATGGAAACTCCTTCTAGAAAATGTAGATACTCAATGTATATATAAGTTCAAGGGGTTCAGAGATGCCTTTCCTCCCCTCCTTAGGCAGAGAGTTAGCCCAAGCATAGAACTCAGGATAAATAAGAACCCTAGTCTAATTACTTTTAAGTAACATTGATCATTGTTGTATATTTATTAAAGATTTCATTAGATAAAATTTGACTTGGAGCAGCAATGCTTTGGTTTCATATTCATATCTTAGCTTGCAGATAGGGAATTTAAAATAAGCCTGGAATATTTATCAAATACAAACTGCTTTGTTATCATAATTCTATTTTAAATGTCCTTTTTTTTCTTTTCAGATTCTGTGTCATAAGTACCTTATTGGAGTGTTGGCATATTTGACAGAACTGGCAATTTTTCAAATTGAGTGAGGCCTTGTGGGGATCATAAGTCATGGATTATATACCTTTTTAGTTGACTAATTGCTATTCTGAGAAGCGACCTCAGGAGAAATGGGCATCCATCTCTGCCCCCGTTTCCTCACAGTGCCTTCGGAGGTGCCCAGTAGAAGCCAAGAAGGATCTAGAACAGAAGGTGGTAGGGGATGAACCACAGCCAGGTGCTTCTGTAATAGTCGTGACGATCAGGGGTGCCAGTCTCTAGAGACTGGAAAATGCTGAGTTATTTGTTGACCATCTTTCTAAAAAATATGTAATGTTTAGTATGTCAAACGTTTAGGATTCAAATGATATAGCTCTAATATTCAGTATTTCTGATTTGGGTCTCTAAAACTTTTAGTTCCTTGAAAGCATTTTAGACTTGCATTAAGAGAATTTCTGTCTTGTGAAGACATTTTCCCAGCACAAGTTTGCTGTAGAGAGCTAGCAATCAACAAACCCTCTGCAAAGGAAACTAAAAATGAATATGGATTTTTTAAAGCAACTAATATGCTTGTTTTTAATATTATTCAGTTCCTATTGAAATGTTGAATTAAATATATTCACTTTTAAAATGTGTGTTTACAGTATTTTGGTAACAGATGTTTAATGTTTCAGGAATGGGAAGGCATGGGCTTTTTCTCTAGCACAAAGGTTACAAACCAACGATTACAGAGAGTCATACAAATTGTATATTGGAAAGGCAGAGATTTTCTTCATTCCCTAATTTTGCTTTAGCGCAGTGCTTCGTAAATATCTGTAGATAAAATAAATGAATTTTAACCAACTCTTCCATTTTGTAGATAAAATCTACCAACTTTAGAGATTTGCTTTAGCAGTTAGGTCTAAATCTCTTCTTTTTACTAACTGAGCATAGAAAAGTTTTGTTTTACTTTAGAAACCATGTTTTTTTAAAAGACTATTATTCTAAAAAAACACACAGGTTCTGGAGTGTGGTAATGTTTTATATTAGAAACAGGAGAGGTGGTAGGAAAAGCATGTACTTTGGAGTCACACATTCATTCAACTAATATTAAGCTCCTACTATATACTTAGAATTATATTGGGTATTAGGAATATAGTAGTAAAGACAAAAAAGATCCCTACCCTGTGGAAATTATAACTTCATATGGAGATAAAACACTATAAAGAAAATAAGGCAGTGAGGTGAGAAAAGGGTGAGTGGGATGGGCCTACTTTACTTAGGATGTCAAAGAAGGGCTCTCTGAGGAAGTGACGGGAGCTGAGTCCTGAGTGAGGAGCAGGAGCCAGCCACGTGAAGATTGAGGACGAGCATGCTAGGCAGGTGACACTTGCAGGAGCAAAGGCCTTGGGACAGGTCAGGGCTCAGTTTGAGGAACAAGGGGGATGTACGGCTGGAGCACAGTGAGGAAGAGGAGAGGAGTGTTATGACTCCCAACTTTTGGCTGGGCACATGGCTTCCCAGAAACAGACATTTTCCAGCCTTTCTCAGAAGTCTCTAAGTTCTGACCATATAAGGGAAGGGTTAGGCAGAGCTTCCAGGACTCTTCCTTCAGCCACAGCAGGCACGCACCCATTGCTCCTTTCTTCTTCCAACGCTGCTGCTTGGCACACATGCAGTGACTGGTACTCTAGCTGCTCTTTTAGGTGACAGGGATGAGGGTCAGGTCCTAAGCACCGGGGAACATGGCCTGGAAGGAGTTTGTGCCCTGAGGACTTTTTAAAAAAATCTATTTTTATTGATTTCAGCCTCCTGAATGCCCCCTACTGGGAAATGAGCCTGGGCATGTGCCCTCGACTGGAATTGAACCCAGGACCCTTCAGTCCGCAGGCTGGCGCTCGAACCACTGAGCCAAACCTGTTAGGGCCCTGAGGACTTCTGGAAGCTGAACCCTGTACCAGCCGCGGGAGGTATTCCTTCAGACATGTGTCAGAGAAGTCCACTTCCATCTTGTTTCAAGCTGTTTGGGTCTCTTGCTCATAACCAAACCTAATCCTAATACCTAGAGGCAGGATTCCTGTCATCTCAGTTTTCATAGGTACTGGGAAGAAATGGGCTTTTACCCTAAATGCAACGGGAAGCCCCTGAAGTTTTTACGCAGGAGAGTAATATGACCCACTTTATATTTTATAAGGTATTGAATAAGTTGTAGGTAGACAAGAGTGGAAGAGGGAAGTGGGTAAAGGGGTGTTAGAAATGGTACAGACTCTATGGAGAAGTTAGTGAATAGTATGTTCTCTTTTATGGAAGGAATGGAAACGTGTGTGTGTGTGTGTATTTCCTTATGTTAAAAAAACAATGGGAGGGACAAGTCAAAACTAATAAAAGTGGTTACTAATAGGAGAAATGAAGGAATTAGGGAGAGGAGTCAGGAATGAAAGTTAAGGCTTCTCTGAATGTTCCATTTATAGTTTGGAACCATATAAGTGGTTTATATAGCTATAAAACAAAATTAGATCTAAACAGGGTTAAAAAGCAATCCTTAAAATTGAAAACAAATGAACCTAATATAAAGTTTATGATATAATCACACAGAATTATTTTTAGTATGTTTACTACTATTTTGGCTGTACGCTGTTAGTGGTCTATATAAATTATAACATTAGAAACCAAGATTTATAGTGTAAAAGATACACAATTATAAAATTGGGTAAGCTAAGTAGAAACTGTACTACTAAATTTTAATTGGAAATATCAGAATGAGCTAGTTTGTTTTTGAAATGCAAAAAGTTTTAAATGTTGGTTAAGTCTAGTTTATCGAAGTTCTTATTGTTCTTTTGCTGTCATATCTAAGAAATCATTGTTTAATCTTAAGTCCTAAAGTTTTCTCTTTTATGTTTTCTTATAATTTTAACTCTTAACGTTAGGTCTGTAATTCATTTTGAGTTCACTTTTATGTGTGCTGCGAGGTTAAGCATCCAAATTCATTTGACATATGGATATCATTAGTTCCAGCGCAATTTATAGAAAAGATTATTATGCCATTGGATTGTCACCTTTCTTTTTAAAAAAAAAAATATATATTTTATTTAAAAAAATATTTTATTTATCTTTTATAGAGAGGAAGAGAGAGGGATAGAGAGTTAGAAACTTCGATGAGAGAGAAACATAGATTAGCTGCCTCTTACTCCCTCCTGGGGATGTGCCTGCAATCAAGGTACATGCCCTTGACTGGAACCGAACCTGGGACCTTTCAGTCCAAAGGCTGACACTCAACTGAGCCAAACCGGTTTTGGCTTCTGTCACCTTTCTTAAAAATCAGTTGGCTATACATGTTTATTTCTGGATTCTCCACTTTATTTCTTGGATTTATAATATGTCAGTTCTCATGCCTATACCACACTGACTTGGTTACTGTAGATTTGTAGTGGTTTTGTTTTTTTAAATCAGGAAGTATGACTTCTAGCTTTCTTTAAGGCTGCTTTGGCTATTCCAGTTCTTTCACATTTTTATAAGAATTTTAGCATTTGTTGGTCAATTTCTGTAAAACAGATAGCTTTGATTTTGATAGTAATTGTGTTGAAACTAGATTTGGGGAGTATTGTCATCACAAATTAAGTCTTCCAATCTATAAATGTGGGATATTTTTCCACTTTCAAAATTTCCTTCAACGAAGTTTTATAGTTTCCAGTATACAAATATTGCACTTTGTTAAATTTATTCCTGAGTATTTTATGCTGTTGAGAGTAGAATTGTTAATTTCATTTTGGGGCTGTTTGTTACTATTGCACAGAAATATTATACAATTGATTTTGTATATTGCTCTTGTATCCTATGGCCTCACTGAAGTTTACTTTAGTATTTTCAGTGAATTCCTTAGGATTTTCTATATACAAGATTGGTGTCATTTGTGAATAAAGCCAGTTTTATTTTTTAATTGCAATTTGGATGTTTTATATTTCTTTTTTGTGCTAAATTGCCGTGGGTATTCTTCAGTATGTCTTGTTCCTGATGGTAATGGGAAAGCATATTTCACTATTAAATGTGATGCTAGCTGTAGATGTTTCATAGGTGTCCTGTCAGGTTAAAGAGGTTCTTCCTCTATTACTAATTTGTTGAGGGGGTTTTTATTATGAATGGATGTTGAGTCTTGTGAAATTAATTTTTCTGTATCAAGATGATTACTCAAAACTACACTCTTCTAGTTTCATATGGAATGTTGTAAGTTGCCACTCTGTCCTAAGCAACAAGTAAAAAGGTGAACAGATGGAGAAGTCAGTGACTCTTTGTAGGTCCCTAAGAGAGGGGAGGACACAGGACAAATTGGTGCCTCCAAGACTGTAGAGACAAACAGGTGAATACAGGGAGTCGTGCTTACTGGAGCAGAAACTACGTGGGAACCAGGGCCAGGGTGAAATGCTGGAGGCTCAGTGTGGAATCAGGTAAAACCCCCGTGGCCCAGTGATAGTTGTAATAAACCTGGCTCCAGTGAACACTGGCCAATAATGTAGTCCTGGGTCTCTGTTCTTGAATCACAGCCATATGAATTGTTCCCATTGGGGAATTCTCTATTTATGGAGTCTCATCTTTAGAATTTTGTTCTTATCAGTCTTCTCCTTTTCTTCCAATATGGGTAATATTAGAGCCTTGAGAAATAGGCGATTTTGCCTTGAAGACGGGCTGTTAATGTTGCAGTATTGTAAGGATTTCATATTTTTTATACTTTTTCAAAGGTGTGTTGGCGTATGCCGCTTCAGGTCAGCCTGCAGGGGCAATGGGAGACAGACAGAAATGGAGTGGGAGTTTGGGCAACTGATTTCTGGTTTTATCGTTGCCTGTTTTCAGTCTTAAAGCAAAGAAACAAATGGGTCTGGAATAGATGAATGTTGAGTCCTTCTAGCTCCAGATTCTATGATTCTAAGTCCTATACCAGAAAACAAGTGTAGTGGTTAGGTAATATAAACATTGTTATAAAACTTTTTATTTAAAATCTTTGTTAAATAACATCATTCTAGCATTTAGCAATCCTCTTATTATTTTAGGTTTATTAACTTTATATAAAGGAAATATGATATAGAAACAGAACACCTACATAGTAAAGACACAGACATTCACCGAACTTTTTTTATGGTAAGTACTCTTTATTTTAAAAAGTTATACATGCTAGAAAAAAGCATAATGATACACGTAAACAATTGTTTACCAAATACTTTTCCTTGTAAAGGTGCAAATGATTTTTAAATGTAAACACAAAAGTTGCCAAATATTTTTTTGGGGGGAGAAGAGAAGGTTATTCCTTTTGTGTGGATAAAATCTTGAAAGATTTTCCCACAAAATGTCTATAAACACAATGACAAATTTCAACCACTGAAATTTTTAGCATTTTTCTCCTTTTTAACTTTTCTCCAAAAAGTGCAATGTGATAGTAGCAGTGACTTTAAAGATGAGGAAAATAATATATAGCTGTATAAAAGAACCAAGATATTAATAAAATGCCTCAGCTTGCTTTACCCCCTTCCCATGTACTATCCTGTCAACTGAGGTCCTTCCGTGGCAGCTGTGACCACAGGTGAGCCTCAGCGGCCTGAGCATCAAAGGTAAGCTGCACAACAATTCGCTGCTGGGGAGAGCACACTTCTCCCTGCTGGTCCTTGGTAGCAATATGCAAATCGAAAGTTGCTTCAGTCAATAATGTTTTTCAGTAAAAACATGCAGAGTTATACATGATTCCATTGGGGGATTCTCAAGACAGTATGAGAATCACATACTGTTTTGTAGAGGCACGCAGTAGGGCTCTAGATATCAGGGAGAAAAAACTTTAAAGGGAGCAGAAAACAAGATGCAAAGTTCCACTGATGAACTTTTAGAGTCCTGGCTTTATTGATTTAATACTCCTTTTAAAAGAGGTTTTCAAGTCTTCTGGGGGTAGTGTAAGAAAGATGGCTAACTTACACACTTTGCATTCCAATCTTTGGAGTGGAATTGTGGATGGAGTGCCTAGAAATAATAGCTAGATCATAGCCCTTCTCCCCTTATTAGCATTTTTAAATTTAGTATCTTAAAAATAAAATTTCACTGCTTTGAATTTTTTATTTTGGTTGGGAGGAAAGCTAAAAAAAACAAACGCAAGATAAATTAAAACCAAAAATAAATATTCTGCACAGAAGTGAACATTACTGTGCAAAGATGGCATCCTAAGGTGAAGTACTTGTGTTTCCATAGTTGAGGCACCGGCAAAGAATAAAATTTGTTCGTGTTTTCCCGAGCTGTAGAAGCTCCAGAGTAGAGTGCTCCAGAGCACAGCGGAGCACACACAGCTGTCTTGTAGGCGCTCACCATATGTGGGACTCACAATGTGTCATTTTAATGACTCCTACTCCACCCCCCAGCCGGCGGTAATTCATCCCGCCATATAACCTGCAAAGAAAGAAAATCAGGTTTCTAACTGGGGAGAAAACATTTTCCCATAAATGAGATGATAATGAAACATCTATATTTTACATCACATTATTTTTAGCTTCCAAAGATTAGGAGCTGGAATTGTGTGTGCTGGCAAGTGGCAGAATTATTTTAGATGCTGACTGAAATGCTATTTTAGATGCTGACTGAAATGCTATCACTCTAGGGGACTGTTTTATATCTACTACTTTTTGCACCATGGCTGTATTATTTTCCCACCCGTTACCCTAACCATCAATTATTTGTTTTTACTGATTTGAGAGAGGGGGGAACATCAATGAGAGAAGCATCAATCAGCTGCCTCCTGCACACCGCTACTGGGGATGGAGCTCGAAACCCAGGCATGTGCCCAGGACCAGAATAGAACCCGGGACCCCTTCGCTGCAGGCCGATACACTATATACTGAGCCAAACCCTTCATGGGAGAAAACTGGACTTAAGTAAATAAAGTTAGCATCTAGTTTGTGACATGTAAACAAGATTATCTTCAAATTAAGGATTTCTATGGGAAAGAATATTAACTCTTCTGCCAGCCATGAGAAAATGTGTTAAGGTAGGGATATATAACTACTATATTTTGTTATTTTTTCAACAGATAATTCTATTTATTGAGTTATTGAAAAACAAGTCCTTATATAGGATCATAGTAATTAGGCAGAAGTAAATGTCTTACTCAAATTTCCACTTAAGTTAGAAAGCTGCATGTGGAAGGAAATATGCCCCCAGAGGGAGGCTCCTATTCATGAAAATCTGCCATTGCATCTCCCTTATCTGTCCTAGGCTTTGCTAGATGTTACCTTTGCAGTGAGGACTTCCTGAGCCACCTCCTTGCCTCCACCCCCTGCAGTGGCACTGTCTCACTATCATGTCAGCTCCTAGAGGGCACTTTTGTGTTCACTTGAATTTCCAGGGTCTACAACACTCAGTGCTGCTTTACTTAATGGACAAGGAAGCAAATAGGGTTACAATGCCGTTAGTCTGGCTTAGTCTTAACAGAGCCAGGAGTAAGATGCGGAATCCAAACAATGTCACCTAAATATCTGTGAAAACTGGCTTTTTTAGAGATGAAGACTAGACAAATAGCTCAATAAATTCATTAGTTGAATCTTAAATAAACAGATGAAAAATCTGGGTGGATAGCTACAGGCACAAAATTAGAAAATTATACTTAGAACACAATGGGATGGGCTATGAGACTGCCCCTTTTGGAGCAGTGGCTATAAAATAAACGTCAGCTTACCTTTCAGGACGTCTGCGGCCTCAGATCTCATGTCCAGACAAACCTGTGGTTGATGTGCAACCTCGACCACTGAGATGCCTACTCTAGAGTCTGTTTAGGCAAAGAGGCTCAATTTATTGGAAAACAGGCCTCAAATTATGTGGAAGGTAAAACTTTCCTTAAAAGGCTGGTATGAGGTACATCGAACTATCAGTATTGATATTTTTATATAGTTAAAATATGAAATATGTTATGTTTAAGAAACACTGGCATAAGAACTTAATTCTCAAACTTATCAGGTTAGTTTGTGAATCAAATATAAAATATGTGATTAAACTTAAAAATCATAGCTTTATATCTTTAGAGGTTTTGCTAAATTTTAAAATAAATGTGTAAGCAAACAAGTGCTTAGCAAGGTTAGACAAAGATTTAAAAGTAAAGAAAATGAAACCCTTAATATGTAGCCTCCTCCTAAAAGTGACTTAAAGTCTATTAAAATTTAAAATAGTATATATTTGTTATTTTAAGTAGATTTTTTAAAAGCTCAAGGAAAATATTGGTTTTAAATGAAATATTTTTAAAAGGTAATTGCAGTTTTTACTGGACACCAGAAAACTGCACTGAAAGATGAAGGTCGGGGTTCTGTGCCTCCTCTTCCTCTGCTAAACATGGGCCTAGAGAGACACCTCCCGCCCCCTCGTTTGTCATTCTCAAGTTTAAATCTGGACAGTTACCACGGAGAAGAATTTTGTAAGATGTTGGCCACTTTAAAGCAATTAAAATAAACCACCAAAGATGGGTAACTTCATCCCTCTTCAAAATACTGTAAGAGGTAATTCAGTGCGCCAACACCCTGATTTTGACAATCATGGGCTATCTCAAGCCCATTATTTTTGAGGCAGCAGTGGGGTGATTCACAACACAGCTGAAAAGTTACCTCCATGTATTGGCATCAGGATCAAAAACTTCAATGGTCTTCAAGTATGTTGTGCCATCAAAGCCTCCTACAGCCATGAGCTGTCCATTCACCACCGCCAGGCCAACCTACAGGACCGAAACACAGCGTCTGCTACAGAAACTGATCTCTGGGAAAATGCAAAATGGTTTCTAGATAAATCTCTTTAATAAAAGATAATTCTTTATAGCCTTACCTTCTGGTTTGCTTGATTTGTTTGGTTTACTTATTATTTAATAGATTTTTGTCTGTGTTAGAGGAAAAAACAAAAATCTATTAAATTACGGGAACTAGAATATATATTCAATTAGGATATTTACAGAGTTCAAAACATTAAATTTTAGACAAAGCATTTACTGGGAGTGAACTAGAACCTCCAAATTGCTATATTTCTTCTTTAGGTATTTGCCTGTTCTAATCCACTATCTAAACTGCCACAAAAGTTAACTTTAAACCAATGCTGCAGGAATACTAGATTGCTTCTAGTCCCAGAAAATGCTGTACACTTCGCATCCATGCCTTTGCACACATTCCCTGGCTGCTGCTCTTTCTCTGATGAGTCTCTTCACTGCCCCAAAGCACTAAGCCTATCCTCCATGCTCTCCTCTAATGCACAGGCCACTGCTATAGACTTGTCTTTTGTCATTAGCTGCCAACATTTCTTCACTACACTGGAAGCCCTTTGAGGGGAGGAATCCTATCATACTCAATTTTGCTTTCTCAGCACACAGTAAATATTTGCTAAACAATGAAAATAAAATCAACAGAATGTAGCAGTGAAGACAGCAGGACCGGAACTAGACGCTGTTGAGTAGCGGTAATAAAGAGCCATAGGTATGTGAACGCTTTTGACTTGCACGCAGTGTTCCTCCCCGATTTGTGCAAACCACAGTTGACTTTTATCCTCAGGTCATGGAGCCTTCAGCTACTGCTGGGTTCTCCCACCTGTCGTGCTACATGGACGGACTCCTGACCAGATCTGGTTTTCTAGAATATGACACAGGTCAGCCCAGTCTGGCCTGTACTATAAATAAGGCAGACGTATTTCTGCCAGAACATTTATACTGGCATGTGAATTCCTTAGAATACCAGGTAGAAATATTTAGCCCTAATAGATACAGGGTGAATATGGGTGAAGGTAGATAAGACAGGGAGATGCCTGTCAGATGCACCTTACACTAAATCATAAAAAGTAAATCTCTAGGTCTGATGGGTATTTACTTGAGACCACAGCAACCAGGATAAGATTTTCCCTGGTACAAAAGCACAGGGATTGTCTTGCCTGCCCTGCACCTCCGCCCTGTCCTAGTGTGTTATGTGTTGCATGTCAGAGTCCTGCACTGCCCTCTCTTGGTGCTGGATTTCAAAAGTATCAGTAGCTGGGCACTTACTCCACTACGGCGGGATGTCATGGCCACCACCGGAGACCACTGGTTGGTCCTGGGGTTGTATCTCTCCGCACTGCTGAGCTCCGTGGTGTCGTCTCTGCCTCCCACAGCATAGATCATGTCCTGATACACCGCACAGCCCAGGTGTTTCCTCCGGGTCCCCATGGGGGCGATGGTGTGCCACCTGTTCTCCTGAGGATTGTAGCGCTCCACTGCAGGGAAAAGAAAAGCCAGCGTTTCCTCTCACCTCTAGTTTTCTGCACAGCCACTGAAACTTTGTAATAACACACGTTTCCAATAAGTAACCTGGTTTTTGTTTGAGAACGACTTGTTTGCCATTGGACAGCAGCGCTGTACTCTCATCGGGCTGGTGTCTTCCAGGTGTGGGGTCAAAGTTTCTAGTTTAGTTCTAAAACTCATTGGCTTCCCTCTCTAAATGGGGGCATTAGAGTCTATGATCTATAAGCACCATTTTGTACTAATTGTCTTAGACAACTATCATACTCCTGTCTATATTCCTACTGCGTTCTAAGCCATTAACGAGAAGATATTTGACAATGAATATATCTGAGTGCAACACTGACAACATCTTTAGGTACAAATATTCATCATCTCTAAATAGAAAGGACTAATACATAAAGCAGTTTATAGCTATAAGTTTTTATTTATTCCTAGACTTTGATATAGAGGGTTTTTGTTTGTTTTAGTTTTTGTATTCTAAGGAGAAATAGTTGAGGAGAGGGAACTGGTCATATTAAGAAAACAGTTCTTTTATTCATCATAAATTCTCAGCAGCTTGTACCGCGGAGGGAGAAAGACATATTTTGAAAATATACAAGACGACTGGTTGCCCAGGAAGCTGAGGAGGAATTTGGAATTGCACTCTGCTAGAGGGGAAAGAATTTTTCCAACAAATTACAGGGTATGCCTGATTTTTTTTTTTTTTTTAGAAAGGAGAGGGATAGAGATATAGAAACATCAATTGGCTGCCTCCTTGCACACACTCCTCCGGGGGGGTCCAGCCCATAACCTAGGTATGTGCCCTGACCAGGAATTGAACCTTGACCTGGTTAATGGGTTGACACAACCACTGAGCAACATCAGCCAGGTATCTGACTTTTATACTTTTTTAGGGAGACTCTCCTAAGGAAACATGTTGCTTTGGGGGAAGCAGGCTGACTTTGGAAGGGACCAACCTGTGTTGAGTGGGGATGTCCCGTCAGAGCCACCTACGGCATATAAGAAGCCTCCTAACACAGCCACAGCCACGCCTAGCCTTCGGGTGCTCATGGAAGCCACTCGGGTCCATTTGTTCTCCTTTGGATCATACCTGCAGTGAGAGAAACCACAGACTACATGCATGTTTCCGTAAGTGGTATCTTTTTTGTAAGGTGTGAAATCACCAAAAGATGCTGGAGACATGGGCATGCGATGGTCAAATGCACAGTAAGAATTTAACACACTTCAGTAGTTTTACGGCAGAAAACTGACCAGTGCCTGTGTCAGTTACAAGCTATTTACTCTGACTTCTGATGCCATGGCGAGTGCTCTGAAAAAGACATTGTCCTCCGCCAAGCTGACCATCAGATTCTGCCACAGGAAGGATGACATCAAGGGGAGCAAAGGGAACCTGCTGTCTGCTTGCCTCCCTTGTCACTGGTTTCAGCAATGGCCCTTCCCTCTGTAACTTCCACTTCTGGCCTTTCTGGCCCTTCCAAAATGAGCCCTCTTGTATCCTGGAGACCACTTCTCCGGAGCCTCAGAGAAGAGTGCCAGTGCACATATAGTACTTTAATTTAAAAAATGGGGTAAAAGTGCCATATTCCAGGCACCCACTGCTAAGAAACTCAGCGATGAATAGCAACGGAAAACTACTTTTGCTCCACCCTGTATTTTGAATATTAACTCCTTGTCAAATGTATGATTTGCAAATACCTTCTCCCATTCAGTAAATTGCCCTTTCATTTTGATGGTTTCTTTTGCTGTGCAAAAGCTTTTTAGTTTGATGTAGTCCCGTTGTTCAGTTTTGCTTTTGTTTTCCCTGCCTTTCTAATTCTGATGTATGTAGTGTTTTCATATCTTGCATAATTTTCCTAATGTCTTTTAGCACATTTTGAAATATAATCACCACTCATTTCTCAAATGTTTCCCATAGAACAATTCAGTTGTTGTTCGACCCTTTTCATGCTGATTCCTCAGCATGACAAAAAGCGTCTCTCAGGCAACAAAGAAATGCTTTTGTTGCTGGTAAATTATACGATTAACACAATTTTAAAACATAAAGAAGCCATCAAGAGTGCTAATGTTGCTAAGAGTGTGAAAGAAGCAATGATGGGGAGAAAAAATGTTGATTTGAATGAAGGAAAAGCAGTGAGCCACTAACAGCGTTTTGGAGGCAGAGACATGAAAAAGCAGAGGCCGCGAGCTGACCTGAAAGACCCCCGGGAACCACTGCTGCCAGTGATTGCTTAAAGCTAGTGGGGGTGGGGGGGATTGGTCAATTTAAGAAGTATTTGTTTGTAGATTACAAGTACATTAGACATGCACTGCATATAAGAAAGGTTGAAGCAGGGAATCAATCATTTGGGGGTCTGGAACAAATTAATTCAATTTACATTATTTCTAATGGGGAAAAATGATTTGGATTTTGAACAAGTCACTTCTCAAATAGCATTCTGGAATGAATTAAGTAGCTGATTAGTTTTGATCTGTTCTGTATGTGTGTCTTGTGTGTCATATTGTCTACAGAGATGTTAATAAACATCTTATCTGCTTCTTCTTATGTTAACTTTATATGGGATCTAACCTCAATACTTGGCTGTTGCTGATTTTTATTGATTTCAGAGAGGATGGGAGAGAGAGAAATATCAATTAAGTGAGAAAATCATAGATTGGCTGCCTCCTGCACACCCCCACTGGAGTCAGAGCCTACAACCTGGGCATGTGCCCTTGACCGGAATTGAACCCGGGACCCTTTAGTTGGCGGGCCAATGCTCTATCCACTGAGCCAAACAAGCAAGGGCTGTTTCTGATTTTTATACGCAATGAGTTTTCCTAAACTTTGAAACTCTCTCTAGTTTTTTTTCACGTGTCAGTAAAAAACAACTGTGGTTGCCTCAAGATGCATCCTACTTGTATCGTGGCCTCTTTTCATTTATCTGCTGTCCTTATCCTCTTGACTGATTCTACACCCAAAGTGTGGGCCCTGTCTGGGGAGGTCATTCTGGCTAGTTCTCAGCTGGCTCTTAAGGAGCCCTCTATCTACCTTTTATTTTTTTAATTTATCTGTATTGATGAAAGATTACAGATATCCCCTTTCTTCCCCAATACTTCGACCCCCTCCACTTCTCCCCCCTCAAGGCCTTCACTGCACTACTGACTGTGTCCATGAATTACACATATCCTACATAATAAAAGCCTAATATGATGTGTCAGATCTCTCAACTTTTTGACTAGTGGCTATGACCCGACTGACCACCAGGGGGCAGACGCTCTGACTGGTAGGTTAGCTTGCTGCTGGGGTCCAGCCAATCAGGACTGGGTGAGAAAGGCCGCACACACATTGCATCCCTCCCCAGCCCAATAGTGATAGTGAGGGACTGGTGGGGTCCCTCAGCCTGGCCTGCTCCCTGGCAATCTGGGACCCCCCAGGGGGATGTTGGAGAGAGCCGGTTTTGGCTCAATCCCCACAGGTCAGGCTGAGGGACCCTCATGCACCGGGCCTCTAGTATGCATATAAAATTCTTGGTTAATCTCTTCCCACCCTCCATATGCCTTTTAAAACCTGAAAATAACTTGAAAAAAAATTACCTCTCAACAATGTTGAGGCAAGACACACCGTCCTGGCCACCGACAGCATAAAGAAATCCTCCAAGCACTGCCACGCCAACACTTGTCCTGCAGGTGCTTGTAGGAGCCACATCACTGCTCCACTGGTTTGTTTTGGGGTCATATCTGCCGAGAACATCAAGAGCAGAGTTTGCCTTCCACAAAGAAAGTATGGCTGTTTACATATTCACTGACATTATGTGTTCATCCCCCTAAATATGACTAATAACTAAAGCATATAAAAGTCTGATTTATGGGTGTGTTTTTTTATATTTGTGAGATAGGAAGGGAAAGAGAGAAACATGGATGTGAGAAACATTGGCTGCCTTCTGTACCCACCCCTACCCGAGATCAAACCCTCAACTCTGGTACCTGCCCTGACGTGAAATTGAACCTTCCACCTCCTGATGTACTGGACGATGCTTCAACCAACTGTGCTATGCCAGCCAGGACTATGGTTTTTTGTTTTGTTTTTTAATTTATTTTTATTTAAAGAAGTTACATATGAATATTATTTTTTTTCAGGATGTTATTATATAGAGCTGAAGTTCCCTTTGAATTACATTTGATTTCGGTCTCTTACCATTTTGGTGTATAGCCTATAAGACTTGTCAGTAAAACACTTGAAAATAGGTATAGCCCTGACCGATTTGGCTCAGTGAAGAGAGCATCAGGCTGAGGACTGAAAGGTCCCAGGTTCGATTCCGGTCAAGGGCATGTATCTTGGTTGCAGGCTTGATCCCCAATAGGGGGTGTGTAGAAGACAGCTGATCGATGTTTCTCATCGATATTTCTAATTCTCTATCCCTTTTCTCCCTTCCACTCTGTAAAAAATTAAAAAATATATATTTAAAATGTCTTTTTCTATGAGTGGGCATATCTCCTTTTTTTAAAAAAAGGTATATATCTATCCACACATATATTCTTTATATACGTTTTTGTTGCATAAATAATACCATTCAGTAGGCACCGTTTCTGAAGAAAGAAGAGCATGCATACCCACAGAGAAAGAGGTAGGAAAGAGGAGAGCGTGTCTGAGGACCAGCAAGTGATTTGGTGGGTCTGTAGCAGCACGTGTAGGGAACACTGGTGCCAGGGAAGACAGACTTGGAAAAGCAGGTGGAGGTAAGATCATAAAGGACTTGCATGTCATGCTCAGTGGTCTAGGCTGCCAACTGGTGCCACAGATGCAGCACTAAAGCATCCTAACGACCACCCCAAATGAAACTATACGGATTGTTCAGAAGGAAATTTCACATTGACCTTACTTACCTTTCAACACTATTTAGATAAGAGGACCCATCGTGGCCTCCTACTGCGTATAACAGGTCATCAAGAACACTGACCCCAACGCCGCATCGCCTTTTGCTCATTGAAGCTACCATTCGCCATTCATTGGTCTGGGGGTCATAGCGTTCTACACTGGAAATGGCATCTCCACTGCACCAGCCACCAACTGGGGAAGTAACGAAATGGTCAGAGTGCCTGTCCCAGAGCACAGACTGTACCACTTACTGCCAGCCTGTAAACTGGCCAGTGCTTGGACTTAACACGTTGACTTTTACTTGTCCACTGGGATTGCTAAAACCTTTCATTTCTAAATAAGTTAGTATTAGGTCCATTTTACAGAGACAGGCAAGGATACCAATTCAAATGAGATTGGGAGATCCTGTGACAGAACAGAATACTGAATTTAGCTAGAAAGCTTGACTGTTGCCTTTACTGAGCTCTGATTTTGAAAAAAATCCTGTAAACGACCTAGTTGTAAAATAAGAAATAAAAACTTTAAAGTGAAACAAAATACATGAAACTGCTTTCTAAAGCACCACACACTACATAAATATAATGTGTAATTAAGAGCCAAAAGAACCATAATTCAGAAGCCTGTTCTTTTTGTTTTTACTCTGTTAGGGGGAGGGACTGTAGCTATTCTCATGATCTCTTACTAGGTCCTCTTGTAACAAAATAAAAAATTCTTATGATTTACAAAATATTTTGCTTTCTTTTTCATCTGTAATCTGTACTGAATTCTATAGTTTGCAACATGATATTTTAAAAAATTGATTTGAGAGAGAAACATCCATTAGATGCCTCTGGCACATAACCCTTCAGAGAGATCCAACCCACAACCTGAGTATGCCCCACTGGGAATCAAACCGGTGACCTTTCAGTCCACGGGATGATGCTTAGCTAACTGAGCCACACTGGCCAGCACCCTACATAACATTTTAGATCAAGAAATGTTTTAAAGAAGTTACATTTTTCATAACCTCATAACAAGTTCAAACTGAGTTCCATAAAGCATCTCTGAGTGTTCCCTGAAAGCATGGTTATTTGGGATACACCTGATATTCTTTCATACCATTTCTATTTCAATCCAAATAAGAGCTATATTCTGGAGTTTAAAAAGTGAAGTCTAAGGAAACTTAACCTCAAAACGTTTAAAAACTACTGTTTTCTAAGGGTTTTCAGTAACTTCAGGAGCTAGACTGAAATAGTAATGTTTCTAACCTTCTAGCTGGATTTTAAAATTAATTTATTTCAAATCTCAATTTGCACACATTTTTATTTTATTATGGTTTCATATAAATCAAGGTATTAAACTAATACTATGTATCCTTTTCCAGCAATATTTTCCTTAGGTACACTAATTTTCTAAAGGCCTGTGTTTTTCTTTAGGATGGAAGAACACAGTTGATGAAGTAACATTAATTTGATTTGGAACCATGTGATCTAATAAAGAGCTGGTTTTATGACTTCCATTATAAAATTGTGTCTGAGGTTTAATGATCAGGCTATTTGATTTGTCTCAAATGCTCGTAACCCTCACAATTGGAGCCAGATTTTATTCTGGAATTTAAGATGTTTTATCTGATATTGAAACTCCTGGTGTATATCCTAGAACAGAATTCAAATTAGGATACACAAAACTTAGTGTCTTTTAGTATTAGTTAAATATACTGATTTAAATGAAATCTGATTTTCTTTAATCATGAGGGGTGGGTGATAATTTCTCCCTAGTCTTCCTCAGGATCAATAGATTCAGGGGCAGACAATAGGAGCAAAATGATACAGTGTAAGGTTGTCTTGAGCTGCATTTAGCCAGGAAAGGTAGGAAGTAGTATAAATAACTGATGTAAGATAATGTGTGTTTTTTTACAGTTTCATGTAATTATGAGGCAACTTGCACACTGGTATATAAATTTATGCATATGACTCATTTGAACAAAACATCCACTGCAATGTGGCTTTATTTATTTATAAATAGATTTTAGGTAACTTTCCCAATTTGCTCTTTATATTCATAAACTTAAAAAAAAAAAAAAAAACACGCCTCAGAATTTTACTTATTTATGTATGGACTCAAATACAAAGTTCCATTTATTTTCAGTAATGAAAGCAACACAACAAAAAGGAATTAATCCATTAATTTTTAAATCTAACACAGCCTTACCACGAAACTAGCCTTAACAAATAAAAACACATTACTAGTTACCAAGTAAGACTATTCTGGAGACTCTAAGGTTTTGCCTGTGCAATGCGGTTTTAGGTTTAATACAAACAGAGCACTGTTTTGGAGAATACCAGGGTTGGATCAAGAGGTAAGACTCAAGTTACATAACAGCCTATGTGTTTCTTATGACAGTGGGTATCACAACTGTCCAAAGGACTACTCACTTGACAGTTTCTCTAAAATGTTCAGTTTAGTCACCGTAATTAAGATCCAAACCTGCAAAAAGGACTTCTCCACAGCGGATAGGCTTCCGTGGTCTGGTCCGTGGTCCTTGCATTAGTGGACGTTCTTGGGGCAACAGAAGATAGTTTTTAGCCTCATCTACCAAGTCTCTGTGGAGAAAATTCTGCCTTTATTTCAAGCATCTAAATAACATTGTTAGTCAAATCCCAGCACAGTTTAGGAATAGGTAAGTTGGCAAAGGGATCAAGCATAAATCAAACCAAATCCTGAATGCCAGCCCACATTAAAAAGGGTCTCAGCCGAAACTGTCTTGGCTCAGTGGATAGGGTGTCGGCCTGCGGACGGAAAGGTCCCAGGTTTGATTCCGGTCAAGGGCATGTACCTTGGTTGCGGGCACATCCCCAATGGCGGGTGTGCAAGAGGCAGCTGATCGATGTTTCTCTCTCATCGATGTTTCTAACCCTATAACACTCTCTTCCTCTCTGTAAAAAATCAATAAAATATTAAAAAAAAAAAAAGGGGGGGTGGGTCACAAACCTGAGAGCAATGATGCCAGTCATACTTGGAGTCGTGGACCGATTAGTATTTCCATTATGACTTCATATCTCACTGCAAATGTACCTCAACATGCTTGGGGCCAATAATAACTTATGGAAAACTAAAAATTACAACTAGATTACCAGCCTACTTATTGCTTTCTCATAAATTTTATTAGATTCTGCAGGATACTGGCAAAGTAGCGTATCAGCCGTGGCACAAAATGTTTGCTAAATTAATTAAGGTAATAAGACTAAGTAAAAAATTAGACTGTTACTAAAAAGCACAGTGCCATCATTTAATATTGATTTGCTATCTGGTACTGTCTGAATGGTTTCCTCTCAACGAGTCTACTGAGGGTGAACAAATGTGTTTTTTTCCTGTCTATTAAGGTATTTTATGAGAAGAACCTAGTAATTGTACCTGCTAAAAAACATCCTACTGCACACTGCTTCTGCATGTGCTCATCTCACTGGAGTCCTTTGCGTGACGCAGTGCCTGACTAGTGCATGGCCATCTGTTACTCTGTCCTCTCTCAACTCAAAGTGTTTCCTAAATTATACTATATTTTAATTTCTCTAGTTATTGTATGTCACAGAGTAATTTTCTCCTGCTGGACTAGTCCTCAGGTGTGACCCAACAATGCATTTCCTATATATGGCTTTGCTAAGCTCTTCTGAGTTTATTTATCTTAAAAACAAAACAAACAAAAACCAAAAAAAATCTCTCGCGATGATGAAGAGCCTTTTCTAGCTTCCTCAGCATTAAAAAGAGACTGTGATCTCCTAACAGCTGATTTTTAATTAGGTTTTCAGCGGCTCCTAGAAAGAGTACTTAGAGCCGATACTCAGCAAGCCAGCCCACCATTAATAACAGCAGCAGCATTTACAGCCATGTGCGGTACGGCACTAGCTCAGTAAGCCCACCACAGCCTATGAAATTGGTGCTGTTACTGTCCTAACTTTAGATGAAGAAACCGTAGCAGAAAGAGGTTAAAGGGACTTGCCTAAGGTCACAGAGCTGGCAAATGCTGACGTCAAGGTATCAGGAAGGGGCTTCTTTGAGAAGTGACTGCACCTTTTCTCTCTGCATCAGAATCAGGACAATCTGATTTCTATTTTGTGCACAAGGGGCACCTTTGTATTGTTTCTTCAGATTTCACCACCCATAATTCCTATGGTTTTCCTGCAGGTACTGAAATATCTTGGTGGGGGGGGGGGGAGTGGGGAGAAACTGCCATTTGTTTTTAAATTTAAAAGACAAAAATCTAAAGCCCCTCTAATATCTGTTAAGGGACAGACTTTAGATTACAGAAGAAGTGCAAATGCATCTACATGTCCTTCCTCTGTTACAGGAATTCCTGATTTTAGAACATGTGTCTTCAGTGTAGGTTAAGGAGTTCTGCGTACTAACTTGCTCTTTTATTTTTATGTACAGACCATGATAGGAGAAAATGATAAAAAAAAAAACAAAAAAACACATGGCTTCAGATTTGAACCTAAATCGTAAAATCTGTCAAACTGGGAAATGTAATTTATTAAATTTCATATACATCAAAGAGATAGCCCTATAACTTAGGTGTTTTGTTTGCTTTATAAAAGCATTTATAAAACTACTTTATAAGTGTGGTAGACCTTTACCTTCGTCCACAGTCTCAGAAAACAAGGCCAGTCCTATCCCTAATTGGGCATATATGATGGAATGAAAATATGTTCTGGACACACTTTTTGACAGAACCAATAGTATATTTATCTCAAGAAGAAATGTATCAGCAGAGATTTACCTCTTCTAATTCAAGATTGCATTAAAATCTTAGAAATCTACACCAAAAAAACACAATACGTTAAAAAACTAATAGGATGAAATATTGGAAGTTCAGTTCTCTCTTCTTCATCTCCTCCGCTTGACCAGAGCCAAGAATAAAAATGTGTTAAATACTCTGCTTTCAGCAGTAGGAAGCACACTAGTTAGGCAGTAACAAAAATAAGGAAATTAAGAGAAAACAGGAACTCTTGGTTGTTGATTTCCCCCGACAGGGCCACTCCTACCTGCATTCTTCATCACTCTTGATGAGGGGATCAGAGCCTACGGTGCCCACCAGGAACTTGGGGCTGAGCAAAGGCAGGCGGACATGCTGGAGCACCTACGAGAAAATGAACATGCTTAAAGGCCCGCGTGCCCATCTGCCAGGTTTTTAAGAAAGAGGTGCTCCCCTATTGTATTTCAATTGTTTGGGGATCTAACAGAATCAACTTACCAACTGATCTAATTAGCATATAATGAAGAAAAGAAGGCATAAATACTAAAACTAAATTCAATTTATTCTAACCACCAACTTAGTAATTAGAATAATCAGAAAACAAAGCACACTAATATCACTTTAGAATGCTACTTGAATATGTATGCTACTTGAATACAATATGTTTATTATAAGCTCTTCTACAATTAGCTTATTTAACTGACTCTAATAAAAAAATCTAGAAGAATATCCTATTAAACTGCGAAAGCCTACAGTCATAACAACAAGAACATCAAGCATTTCATTTAGTGACCACTTTTGCCCATGTTGTCCCTTTACTCTTCAAAATGGCATGGGCTTGCCAAGCCATAGGGAAAGGAAGCAGGAAGTCGCCTTCCTTGCTCTGTTCTGTTCATTTTGTACCATTTAGGTTCTGACCGGCTTTATAGTCCAAACCTAGAGTTGATGCAAAATAGAGAGGAAGCAAGGAGCAGAAAGTTTATGATAAACACATATCTCCTTGATTATTTGGAAACAGATGGTCTTTCTTACAGTCTAATATAAGGGGCAGTGAGTGATACCCGCTTTAAAAAAAAAATAAGTCAAATACATATTATGAAAGCAGTTACTTAGAGAAGCATTTCCTTTATACCTGGGGTAACTGAGGGCGTCTTTCTTGGATACTGTATTTGACCCAGGCCATCACTGCATTGAACACCTGTTCTTCACTGCGAACGTTTAGCTCATCACTAGATATTATATCAATGAGTTGATTGGCTGGAAGCAACATGAACTCTTCACTTTCCATCACCTGTTCAAAGTAAGGTAAGAATAAAAGAAAAAAACCTGTGATCATACTTAATTTGTTGCCTCAATATTTTTCTTAAGGGTTATGAAGCAAAATTCTATTCCACAATAGAGCTGAGGTTCAAAACAGTGGAGCAGATAAAAGAAACAGATGGGTGGACTATGGACAATGAAACTATCATGTACAACACTACAATGGTGGATACAATATTACACATTTGTCAAAACGCACAAAATGTACAACAGCAAGAGTGAACCCTAATGTAAACTATGGACTTTGGGTGATAACATGTCAATGTAGGTTCATCAGTTGTGACACATGTACCCTCTGATGTTGATAGTGGGGGAGGTTGTGTGTGCACACGTGTGTGTGTGTGTGTGTGTGTGGAGAAGGGGTGTAGGGGAACTCTACTTTCTGCTCAATTTTGCTGAAACCTAAAACTGCTCTAAAAAATGTTTATTAATTTAAAAAAAGATACAAAGGAGAATACAGGGGACACAAAACTTGGGGGGAAATAATAATTTATGATTCAAATAATTTAAGACAAATGCATCTTTTTCTCCTAAAATGAAGTATCAAAATTAAAGTTTACATTCAAAGTAAACTACTAAACTATACCAAATTATAACTCCAGAAATATAAAAGGCATATAAAAAACTTAAGAATTGCTTCCAGACTGATTAGCATTGACAGAGCAGTGCTGGAGTAGAAACCCAGGGGGCCAGTATAAAAGAAGAAGAAGGGTGTCGGAGATTTTATAAGCAAGAATGGATATAACGAGGAGAATCAGACCCAGGAAAACCTCTGAAGACCAACACACTCTTATATTTACCTATACCAGTTTATCTCTCTCACTGATGTGTGCATACATTACAGATATTACTACACACACCCCAGTAATTTATCATTACCCAGGGCTGGGGAGCTGTCAGAATGGAGAGGCAATGACAAGGATATCACCTCGTCGTGCATGCCAGCCATAAGTCCCAAAAGCTTCTAGATCTTGCCATGACTATGCAGAGTACAAGGGGCAGGGTGTAACGCGGGAGGGAACGGTAACCGCTACACTCCACGTGGTTTGTTCTCTCACGCAGTACGCGTGCTGCGTGTGAGGCCCACGTGTGCAGGAAGGATCTGGTGAAGAGGTCAATTCCTACTGTGTGATCTCTGATGCAGGTGATGTATTCTCTTGGGATAAGGTTATTTTCATGTTCATCAAAAAGTAAGAATATTTCCCAGAATATGAGATAAGCCATTGCTATTTGAATATTTGATTGTTTTTCCCAAGTACATTAGAAAAAAATGTGCATCTCAAAATAAATCAGTTCAGCCGAAACCGGTTTGGCTCAGTGGATGGAGCATCAGTCTGCGGACTGAGAGGTCCCGGGTTCGATTCCGGTCGGGGGCATGTGCCTTGGTTGCTGGTACATCCCCAGTAGGGGGTGTGCAAGAGGCAGCTGGTAGATGTTTCTCTCTCATCGATGTTTTTAGCTCTTTATCCCTCTCCCTTCTTCTCTGTGAAGGGTCAATAAAATATATTAAAAAATAAATAAAAAATAAAAAAATAAAACGGTTTCGAGCCATAAAGTCAGCTATGCTTATAGTAGAAAATACTAATGTACATTTTAATTTGTATGGCAAAAAGTTTCAAATCATCCAAGTGGGAAACTTCTGGGGTTCAGGAAATGAAATAGGTAACGTTTACATTTTAGCTAGGTTGCTTAGCCAGGTAGCGTGGTTAGAATGATTGCATTGTACTCTCAGTGGCAGGATTGTTAGATTTAGCAAATAAAAATACAGGACAGCCTTACACTAATTAACTGGACTCTCTGTTATTTTATCTGGCAACCCTATGTTGGGGGCTAGAAAGGCCAGAGCCAAATCTGGGGCCTCGCTTCAAATTAAATGCACTGGCCTTCACCGTGTGCAAAACTTCAGCCATGACTGCATCCTACTTTCCTCTTTTCTCTGCACTCTGCTTTCTTTACTAAAGTACAAGAAAGGTATCAGATATCTTTGTGGAGTGCCTTAACATTCTTTGTGGATCTTGTCAGAGCATAATAATTTTTCCCAACTTAGTATTATAAGCCAAATGTTATGTGTCAATGATCACCAAGATTAAAGTTTATAAGTGAACCACCATGATATTAAATAATGATATTAAAAATGATATCACTTACTGGAAACATCAGATGGCAAGAAGACATGAAAATCTGTGTGAGAAAATATTTGTTTGGCACTAAGGACAAAGAGTAAGAATAATACTTTTGATAAACAAAGTATGCTTAAAATGTCACTTCTCCTTTTTCACCAATAAGAAAAAGATACTGTCTACCATTAGGGCAAATCTAGCACTGACATCTATCCTGGAACCAAACAACCAGGTGAAGAAAATAATGCCTCGCTTGGCCAGTGTGGCTCAGTGGTTGAGCCAGGAGGTCACGGTTTGATTCTCTGTCAGGGCACAGGCCAGGATTGAGAGCTTGATCCCCAGTAGGGGGCGTGCAGGAGATACCCAATCAATGATTCCTTCTCATCACTGATGATTCTCTCTCTCTCCCCTTCTTCCTTCCTCTCCCTGAAATCAATAATATATATATGTGCATGTGCATGTGCGTGCGTGCGTGCATGCGTGTGTGTGTGTAAATATTTTAAATATCTGCTTTCTCAAATAAAAGTTTACAGGAGCCGAAACCGGTTTGGCTCAGTGGTAGAGTGTCGGTCTGCAGACTGAAAGGTCCTAGGTTCGATTCCGGTCAAGGGCATGTACCTGAGTTGCAGGCACATCCCCGGTAGAGGGTGTGCCAGAGGCAGCTGGTCGATGTTTCTCTCTCATCGACATTTCTCTCTCTCTATATCTCTCCCTTCCTCTCTGTGAAAAATCAATAAAATACATTAAAAAAAAAGTTTACAGGAGATCTACATTTTAAGTCCCACACTATTATGGGAACTTCTTTCATTGATAAAGATTTTTCTGGTTTTCTGTTTCTTCAGTTTTTGTAAATATGTACATGTTATCTCCATGAAACAATCCCACACACCTAGCTTTCCTCTTCTCTATTTATTCCCAGTTTCCTCTGCCAGCTGCTCTTTAGCTAACCTATCCTTTAGTATGAGGAAAAAATGGAGGGCTTTTTTTCTTCTTTCTCCAAATTAGGCGACTTCATTTGCATTGATTTTTTTTTTACCTTGTTTATGGTGCTTTTGTTATTTAAAAGTTAAAATTTAAAAAAAAAATATTTTATTGATTTTTCATAGAGAGGGATAGAAAGTTAGAAACATCGACGAGAGAGAATCATCGATCAGCTGCCTCTTGCACACCCCCTATTGGGGATATGCTTGCAACCAAGGTACATGCCCTTGCCCGGAACCGAACCTGGGACCCTTCAGTCCGCAGGCCGATGCTCTATCCACTGAGCCAAACCGGTCCTGGCTAAAAGTTTAAAATTTTTATATAATCAAAGTTATCAATTTTTTCTTTAATGGCTTCTATATTATATCTGGCCTTAAAAAAATTAAGCCATAGTTTAATTACTGTGACTTAATTACTATGTTGATGACTCCTACATTTCAATCGAACCCTAATCTTTTTATTTTTATTGATTTTTAGAGAGGAAAGAAGAGATAGAAACATCAATGATGAGAATCATTGGCTGGCTGACTCCTGCATGCCCTCCCACAAGCCGGGCATGTGCCCTTGTCTGAAATTGAACCGCAGGCTGATGCTCTATCCACTGAACCAAACCACCTAGGGCCTACTCTCTTTCCTAAGATGCAGACTCATATAAACAGAAGCCTACTATCAAACTGATTATACCTAAATCGGAACCCATGATCTTACTTCCTCAAACATTCCCCCTCTCCAGTACCTTTGTAGTACAAATTTCTAAAAATGGGATTGGTGAGTCGAGTGTGTACAATTAAGTGTGTAATTTTGATAGGTACTGCCAAATTTCTTTTCAAAGGAGTTATATCAATTTATACTCACACTAGCAATGTAGCTATTTTCCCTATGGCCTTATCAAGAGGATTTGCAATCCAACTAATAAATATTTATAATCTGGTAGACAAAAAAATAGTACCATACTTTGTATAGTTTTAATTCATGTTTCAGTTATTATGAACAAGCCTGAGCAGATATTCATATGTTTAAGTGCAAACTGAATTTATTATTTTATTGCTCATTTTATTGATCTTGGTTACTGACCAATAAAAGCTCTTGATATATTAAGGTCATTGCCTGTGATATGATTTGCAAATATTTGCCCCCAGTTTGTCTTTAACTTACTATTTTGTTTTACCATGCAGAAATTTTTTAGTTTTATACAGTCAAATCTGTCAACATTTTTTTCTATGCCTTCTGGGTTAGTCAATTAAGCCTCTTTGCTTCAAAATTAGAAAGGAATTGATCTGTGTCATCTAATATTTTCATGGTTTCATTTTGTATTTTAAGTCTTTGAGCCATTAGAGGTTTTCCTGGTGAACAGAGAGTAATATTAAAGAGCAAAATGAACCATGTCTTTCCTTTGCTCAAAACACTTTAATGGTTAAACTTCAAATTCTTAACATGGTCTATTAACTCCAGTGCAATCTGGCTCTGTTCCTTCTGTAAAATTGTTATGTAACATCCTCTTTTACTCTCTGGGTCTCACTAGATTCCTTTCCATTCTTCAAACTAGTAGGCTTCTTCATGTCTCAGAATTTTGCATGAGCTGTTCTGGAACCAAAGTTAAATTCTGTAACACACTGTTAAGTCATCCAGGGTTTCTTCTTTGTAGCACCTACTGCTGTAATTGTGTAACTGTACATTCACGGGCTACCTTCCCTGCTGGATTTTATATACACCACGGAAACAGACTCCAGGGGTCTCGTTTACCCCTGCAACCTTTGTTCCTAACCCCAGTGGCTGAAACATAGCTTTACAAATATTGAATGAAAAATAGGTTTAATGAAAAATTCTTTTGATATCTAATTTCATTTTTTTTCTGATTACTCGCCAAATAACCTCTGACCTATATAATTTATTCTGCTGAATAATCCATACAATCAGGAAGGACAGGCTTCAGGTAAATGACTGATACCAGGTTTTCTAGCAGACACACATCTCCTTATGAATTGATAGACTGTATTCTGACTTTTATGAATATAACATGACTATGCACAATCAAGTCCTAAACTATTACTGATAAACACAAACTTGGACTCTAAAATAAAAACCAAGTTTAGAATTTATAACAACTTCTTTAATATTATGATTTAGAATTGGCAGTAAATAGCCAAGCAGCTGTGTATGTGTCAGCAGAGTGAGCCTACGCACTCCTGACAAAGACATTATGAAAACATTCAAACCACCAAGTACAACTCACCTCTTGAAAGTTATGTTGAGTGAACTTGTCTGCTATCCTTAGCAACTCACGACATGAATGTGTGTCAGCGAAAGCCCGAATACCAAGGCAGTTAGAGGGATCTAATTGTCTCTTTAAGAATTCGCAGCAGGCTTCCTGTATTTCTGCCAGCTGGAGGAGACAAGCAGCTGGCAGGAGGGTCTGAACATTGCCCTCTTCCACAGTTATCTGGGAGGTGTACGCAAAGTCAATCAGCAGTTCCATAGCCCTCTCATCTATGTCTCGGATCACTACTTCTGTCTGCCGACTCTCCGCCAATTCTCCTGTAAACATCGCTCGGAAGTAGGGGCTACAGGCTGACAGAATGACTCGGTGGGCATAGATCTTCTTAGCGCCCACAACTAGCACCACATCGCAGAGCTCCCGGTGCTTCCGCAGGAGGTTAATCACTTCCAAGGTTTGTCGAGGGTGCTTGTCTGAGATATAGGGCATACGGGCAGGCTGGGGAACCCCTTCGGGCAGCTTGTTGGGGTCTCCAAGGGTGCAGCGGCTTGTCACGTCCATTCCAGTCTCTCCTGGTCGAATGTTGGTGCACCTGCAGGAACGGCGGGGGAGAGGAAGAGAGGGGGCAGTATTATTAGACACTCACTCCTGTCACAAAAGTATTCCCAAGTCAAGACACAGGGAAACCTATAGGCAAGCAAAAGACAGAGCTAAGTCCCCAAAGAGTTCCTGTTCTAAGAACCCTAGAACTCAAAAACTTCTTTAAAGTCTCTGGAGGAATGAATAGTATTAATTCCCAGTCAGAGCACTTTCCCTGTGACCTCCCATAAAATAAAGGACAATTCTTTTTCATCTCAGTAGTCAGACTAGGACTGTTTAGGCCCTATCTTTTTCAACTGCCTGTACTAAAGTAGTAACACATTATGAGAAACATTTCTAAATTATGATCTATGGGCTTTAATTTCATAATCTGGTTTAATCAAAATCTTGATAGTTGTCATTTTTTCTAAAACACACAAATGTTTATTTATGATCATTGGGAGATATTTTAAATTGCTCTAAGGTTTAGCACAAAATCTGTAAATTATAGCCAATGTTGCATGAACCGATCAGAAGGAAAATAGGCCAGGGTCCAAAAATTAACTTTATAGGTAGTACTATATTTCCTTCACCCGAAGATGCCTAGAATTTACAGTTTTCACAATCACAATGTTCTAAAAAAGTTTTTTAAAAAAATCACAAGCACAAGTGTGTCCCTGGGATGCTTTGGATAATTGCTAAGGGCCAAACATAATTCAAGGGATTCTTTAGTCCTTTGAGAGGAGAACTTAGAATAAAACTTTGTGATATTAAAGAATACTGAGGTATCAATTATATGGATAAATACTTGCTGTATTGGCAACTAGTAAGAAAAGCTTTGGGTACCTTTAATTCAATATTCACAATTCTAAAAAGTTATTAAATCAACTGTGTGTCTTACAAGTGAGGAAATGTAGTAAGTAACTATGCATTTACATTATAAAGGCACAAACTTAAAAACCAAGAGCATGGTTCTTCCTTTCTCCACCAGCAACCTGTTTTTCCAAAGCACCTAAACATTCAATCTTTCCAGCCTCAGCCCACGGGTGACTGTGTACTCTAGCGTACAGACTGTTCATAATTCCTGACATCTGGCGGAAACAGTTCTGTATATGCTTGACAAGTGAAAGACTGAAATATAAAGCTGGGCAGTTAGATAATTTACCACCCATGCCAACAATCAAGAAGGCGGTTAGCCATGTGCATGCTGGTGCCTTGTATGTAGTGGAAGCTGAAAGAATAAACCACACGGGTAACAGTGGTAGAATCAGGTTTTAAAAAACCCGGTCATTAAAGACAAGACCAGTTCAAAAATTCCTGTTGTAATACTGACATTGCATGTAGACGTTAAAGCATGTCTGTTGCAACCTTAATTATGTACATAAAGATGATACTATTGAAATCAGATAAACAATTTTTTATTTTACCTAAGTAAAATATGAAAGCTAATTTCTACATACCTACTTTTAAAAGTATGCCATAGCAAAAAAAAAAAAAAAAAAAAAAAGTGCTATTATTATATTAGTATAGACTCTCACTTTAAATAATGAGTAATTGCTATATTATTATAGACTGCGTGGTTAACAAACTTGGAAGGAATTCTCTTGAATGTGGTCATTCTCCAAAGTCTGTCCTCTCTGCTCTCTATACACATTTGTGGGGAAAGCTCATTTAATGTCCTGGTTCCCATCACCCATGTGTGAATGGCCAAAGGATTTTTATCTCCTATCTGAATAACTCAAGTTCACATACAGGCAGTCTTCCGGTTACATCACACTCAACATACATTGTTTCGTGGTTACATCACCATCTCCCATTTATTTATAAGTAAAAAGTTCCGTTATTTTAACGTATGTACATATGTGCTTTATGTTTTTTATTATTTATTTACCACAAGTAAAGGCCAGAAATTATCTTTCTTTCACATTTTTTTTTTTTTTACTGTTTCACTTCATTACTGCTGTGTATGTGCTCCATGTGAGTGACTTAGGTGCTTATGTAGGTGGGTTCCGACTTAAGAGGGAAAATCGAGGTACATCGCGCTAAAGAACAGATCTCCTACTTAACCTGAGGACCTACTGTATATCAATGATTTATCTAAAACTGATTCCTTGATTCTCTTCCCTCATTGGTGTCTCTCCTCTAGTCTTCCCCAGATCAATAAAAGGTAATTTTATTTTTACATTGGCTCAGGCCAGAAATCTTGGAACCTTTCCCTTCAACACTGAAACCCAACCCATCTGCAAATCCTATCATTCTACCTCCATATGATCCCTAAAATACAACCATTTTGCTACACGTCTAACTAGCCCCACCCTAATTCAGGCTATCCTTACCTTTATATATATATTTTATTGATTTTTTACAGAGAGGAAGAAAGGGGAATAGAGAGTTAGAAACATCGATGATAGAGAAACATCGACCAGCTGCCTCCTGCACACCCCCACTGGGAATATGCCTGCAACCAAGGTACAGGCCCTTGACCGGAATCGAACCTGGGACCTTTCAGTCCGCAGGCCGGCACTCTATCCACTGAGCCAAACTGGTTTCGGCTATCCTTACCTTTTAAAAATATAATCTCATAAGTGGTCTTGTTTCCACATTTGCTAATTTATAATCTCTAAACATTTATTTAGACCTTTTAATTATAAAAGACAAGATGGGATGATAAAGACCATTAGAAGTGTTTGGTTTGCAGTATTTTGGGTTTTGTTTTGAAATGGAAATAGAATATCATTAGGAGGACTTTTAGTTCACCATCATACAGTCTTACGTGAAGCTGTGCCATACACTGAACTACCTAAAGATCTATGAATTTGTTTTTTAACCTGTTATAGAGGTACTAGTATAAGGATTGTGACAGAATTAAACTGTTTGGTAGAATAAAGTAACAGTAATTTTAAAGGGAGAAAGTTTTTGTTGTTGTTTTTTTTTGTGTGTGTGTGTGTGTGGGAGGGGGAAGGAGAAAGGAAGAATTATAAGAGAAAGGGAAAGGAAGGGGAAGGTGAAGGAAAGGGAGACTTAAAATTGTGGCGGGTCCTGGCCGGCTTGGCTCAATGGATAGAGCATCGGTCTGGGGACTGAAGGGTCGTGGGTTTGACTGAGTCAAAGGCACATGCCTGGGCTGTGGGCTCGATCCCCAGTGGGGGCATGCAGGAGGCAGCTGATCAATGATTTTCTCTCATCATAGATGTTTCTATCTCTCTCTTCCTCTCCATTCCTCTCTGAAATAAAAAAATATACTTTGAAAATAAATAAATAAATAAATAAAATGGTGGTGGGTTATGATCTAAGAAGACAGCCAGTGAGAAAATGATGAATGTCCAAAATACTTTATGGCCCTCTCCACTATGCCTAAACCTGAGGTATTCAATGGCAGCAGTTAATGGAGGCAAAGAAAGAGACAGTGAAGCCCTACACAATTTGGCTCAGTGGACAGAGCATTGGCCTGCAGACTGAAGAGTCCCAGGTTTGATTCCAGTAAAGAGCACATGCCTAGGTTGCATGCAGGCTGGATCCTCAGTGGGGGAGTGTATAGGAAGCAGTCAATCAATGTATCTCTCTTATCATTGATGTTTCTAGCTCTCTCCCCCTTCCCCTTGCTCTCTGAAATCAATAAAACATATATATATATATATGTATTATAAAGTATATATATGTATATGTGTGTGTATATATATATATATAGAGAGAGAGAGAGAGAGGGGAGGGGGAAGAGAGGGAGACAGCGAGTATGAACCATTTTTAGAAAAAAGAGATACAGTGCTATGTCTGCTTAAAGAAGTCAAAGACTGAAAAATAATTATCTACTGACACTAAGAACCCAAAGGAGGGAGATATGTAAAAATATAAGCAAGAGGAGGAGAATAAATAAATGATGGAATGAGATCCTTGAAGAGTGGGAATGCACAGAACCAAAACCAGAGGGATGGACCTTAGATGTAAGAGATGAGAGGAAAGGAGTGGGAGGGAGATAATATGGAAACAGACACATTTATTTTGGGGAAGGAGGTGTCAGGAATTAGGAAGTTCATAATGAAGTGAAGTTGGGAGTTGGGTGGCAGGTCATCTTCTGGCTGTGAGCAGAATGGTGGCAGGGTCATGAGGACAACATGGTCATGGTAACCATGTGAAGAGCTGCTGTGGGGATGAGTAAGACTCAGAAACACTGTTGGCCCAAATGATAGTAAAGACTTATGAACTCCCATGGCTGGTTTTATCTATTGGTAATCAACAGCCCAAATCAGAGAATAGAAATGTCTGCAAATAACTAGGCAAAATAGAAATGCCTAATTAATAGGTATGCCTGAAATACCACAGACAGAGAGTTGAATGGTGGCTAGAAAACGGTTGAAACTGTGTGAAATGAGAAGGGGCAATGGCATGTTAATTTTGACAAAGAACAGATGGAATGAACATTCAGGAGATTATAATTAGAAAACGAATTATTAGCACTTATGATTTCAGAGAGCGTTTTCCTGAGTGATAGTAGAAACGGACTGTTGAAGTGAGCGAAGGTGAAAGTCACAAGAATTTAATTTAAGAAGCCGAGGGAGTGTAGATAGGTAAATAGATGTGTCATTCCCATGAATGTTAATATATCCTAAAATCATAGTGAGGAGAAGAATCAAATCATGTGCATCCTGGAAACATAAACCAAAAAAACAAATCAAACATCTTAAATATTCTTCATGTTTACCAAAGGAATGTTATAACTCTGGTAACTCCCTAAGTAAAGAAAATTTCTGTCCACCCCGAATTGTGAGTCAACTTCAAATTTCAGAGCTATCATGTCACACATTCCTCAGATCTTGTAATCCCAAAGTAATATTCCTAATTGAGAAAAGAGTCATTTTCTATAAGTGGGTAAGATAAGGTGAAATCAAGCACAATAAAAAGTTTAGAAAACAGTTTCTGATTCTAAAACATTTATAATCTATTTTACCTCTTTGTCCAAAGACCTACAGAATCTTTCCTTAGCTTGGAATTATGTTCCTAAGCTAAGAACCTTTCTCTCTCTTTCTCCCTTTCTCTCTGTAAAAATCAAAGACAGCGAGTGAGTGAGTGAGTGAGTGAGTGAGTGAGTGAGTAAGAAAGAGAGAGGGGGGGGCATCAATGTGAAAGGAAACATCACATGCTTCTTACACACGCCCTACCAGGGATGAAGCCCACAACCCAGGTATGTTCCCTGACCGGGAATTGAACAGGCCACCTTTCAGTACGGATGACACTCAACCAACAGAGCCACACTGGCCAGGGCTAACTGAACATCTCTCCTTTTATATTTCAAACAGTTTGCTTTAATTTGGAAATTAACAGCCTGAGATTAGAAAAAAGATTCAGCTGATTTGATCCTCTTTAAAGTCCCAAACACTTAGAATAAAGAGAACTAGAGGTTTGAGTATAGAAATCCTTAAAACAGAAAAACCATCTATTATAAGTGCCAGTTCTGCTTATTAGAAGGGCACCTGCGAGCCACTGCATCCAGACCTAATTCCATACCAGAATGCCAAGCTGTCAATCCTTAATCTGAAAACAGGTCATGAATGATTCCTCCTCAGACATCTTATCACTGCTTCTTGGACAAAATAAGGGTCAGCACGGGGTGCCTGGGCCCAGCAGTCAAGGCAAGGTGAAGGAGGCAGGGCCAAAGGCAGTGAGAGCCAGCTGACCTCTCTTTAGGTAAGGAAAGCAAAACCTCCCTGGGTTCTCCTTAGCAACTCTGCTGCCATCTCGTTGGTAGCTCTGTGTTATGTAGCTATCCCAAAGTGCAAGGATTAAGCTATCAAGCACATTTAATTTCCTTAAGTCTACAGTGAAGAGAGAAAAGGAAGGAGAGGTGTTGAGCAAGGAGCACACAGATTAAGCAATATATCAAATACTACTACTTTTAAGCAAACATTTTCGACTGACTGCAATAAATAGGAAATTCTAAAAATAAGAGATCTGAATGGGATATATATATATATATATATATATTTTTTTTTTTTTTTTGCCTTTGAAATTGAACTCAAGGAGAAACTCGTTTGATCTTCACTGTGAGTGAAAATTGATGAAACTCTAAATAAAACAAGACCCAAAGAACCTAAAACTTTTTACCCATTTTATTTTTTTTAATATATTTTATTGATTTTTTACTGAGAGGAAGGGAGAGGGATAGTTAGAAACATCGATGGAAGAGAAACATCGATCAGCTGCCTCCTGCAACACCCCCATCCCCACTGGGGACATGCCCACAACCAAGGCAAATGCCCATGACTGGAATCGAACCTGAGACCCTTAAGGCAGATGCTCTACCCACTGAGCCAAACCGGTTAGGGCTTCTTACCCATTTTAGAACCCTTACAGGCTTTTTGTCTTAGATCACACCTTAAATTCTCTGGTACTCCCTAGGGTTCTGTCTTTGGCATCCTTCTTTTCTTTTTACCCTCATTTACATCCACCACCTCTAGAACCTTCTGCGCACTCATGACTCACAATTTAAAAAAAAAATCTCCAACCCAAACTGCTCTTCTGCTCCAGAGCCATATTCCAATTGGCAACGCTACCTGGCTTGAGCCAAGTGATGGTGATAAAGAGCTGTAACTAAATGGCACCAGCATTCTCCAAAGTGATTTTAAATAACTGGCAGTATTATGTAATAAGGCAGAAAAAAATGGGTGTAATTAAATGAGTATTTTATATAGAAATTACTGATAAAAACATTCCCACGCTGTGCCTCCTCTTTTTAAAGAAGAATACGCTCTTATTTTAGCAATTACATAAGATATAAAATTTATGGCAGCTGAGGATGAGAAGCAATTTGTGGTTTTTATAACCGTGTTGAAGTGATGAAGTATGTGTGTTGTTAATTTCATGTGCTTCCTGTCCAATATTATTGCTACTATAGAGTAAGATATAAATAACATAATGGCATTTGTTACTTCCATAACATCTTTTCATCTGGAGATCTCAAAGCATTTTAAGCATTCATTATTCCCAATCTCCTGATCAGATACATTAGAGGTAAAACGAGGCACAGGGAGATGAACAGCTCAAGGTCAATAAAAAAATCAGAAACAGATCTGGAAAAGGATATATTCTGATTTTTGCTTCTAGTTTTAAGTTATAAGCCATACCCCCATCATGAAATGTTTCTTTTCTTAAAAGGATCTGCCACATTGTTTATCTTTGATGTTAAAATTAGTTCATTTTTTTGAACTAATTTTATATTAATTGAACTATATTTAATTAATTGAACTATATTTAATTAATTATAGTTCAATTAATGTAAAATTAGTTCAAAAAATGAAGAACTTGAACTGGGCTGATTTTGTTTCAATAAGGGCTCTTGTCTTACTTGTTAGAACAGATTGAGAAAAAGTATTACAGAGTTTTAGGGTTGGGATGACTTATAATTGTCTACATTTCCCCTCAAACTGTTCTGCTTTTCTACGGACTGAATTATTATGTCCAATATCTTTTTTAAAAACATTTCTATTAATTTTTAGAAAGACAGGAATGGAGAGAGTGATAGAAACATCAATGATGAGAATCATGACCAGCTGCCTCCTGTACGCCCCTACTGGGGATTAGCCTGCAACCTGGGCATGTGCCCTGACCAAGAGCAGAACCAGTGATCGCTTGGTTCATGGGTAGAGGCTCAACCATTGACCCCTCCAGTGGGGCTATCCAATACCCTTTTTCACTCCTCAATCTTCCCTGCAATGCGGCTATTTTAATTAACAGAGCAATTGTTATTACCAAATATCAATGAAATAACTAGAACAATAATTAGACATTCAGTACAATGTATTATAAATAATCATTATACTTATATGGCAACAGAACCTTCTACATTCTACAGGAGATTAAAGACTATAATCCATCCATATATCATAGTACATTTAATGATTATCCCAAAAAATTACCATATTAATGACACAAAATTCAAAGCACTCCTTAGAAATGTTTCTACATATTACTCTATTTAAAAGCTATTAATTTCTGATATTTACTATTGATTTATTTTAGAACAAGGATCGTTTGTAAACTTTTGTTAAGCTCTTAAAATCACTGCAAACTTTAAAACAGATTTGTAAACTTTTAAAAACATTTCAACGAAGCCCTGAATTATTACGAGCTGGATTTCAGTGAAAGGCCTACCTGCGCATTGGCTTTCCTTCCATGCACCATGAAAAGCACCCTTCACCGCACGCTACAGCCGAACCTGAGACAACAGCAAAGCAGTCACTTAATAAAAACTGGTTTCTCAGCGATACACCGTTTCGCGGCCGGTTAGACTGCAGGCCGTTTGCAGATGCACAGCCATAACCTTGCCCTAGCACCTCCGCGATGGATGGCTGTCCTCAATCTGAACCGGTTGTGAGGGGAGGTGCGGGGACGCGCGCAAAACAGCCTGATCTCCGCTCCGGGTTCGTCTCTTCCCGCGGCGCCGGGAGGCGGTGCATTCTGACCTCACGGTCCAGGGCGCTCACCAGCTGCCCAGGCGGCTCCTCACAGCGAACAGGGAGCGGCCGGCTCACCAGCCGGCCCGAAGGCCACGGCTGGGCCCGAAGGGCCAGGGCCGGGGGGGCATCTGTCTTCGAAAACAAACCACTCCGCTTTCACAGCACAGAGAAGCTGCCGCTCCCTCAACACTCTCCGCGCAGCCCCTCCCTGTCCCCGGAGCACGGCCCGCCACCCCCGGGCACGATCTCGCTGGGTCCCCGGGTTACACGGGGCGCCTCTCCCTCGGTCCAGCCCTCGTGTGGGGACGCTGCCCGGAGAAGCCCAGCCCCCCAGGCAGGCAGCCAGCGCCCCCGGGCTCCGGAGGGCTGCCAGCCGGCTGGGGTGCGGTCTGGTGCCCCACGCGCCCCAGCCGCCCCTTCTCGGCGCCCACTGACAGGCGGCGGGCGAAGCTCGGCCCTCACCCGCCCGGGGACTCGGCGACTTGGAAGCCCGGGTTTTCACAGCGGCCCGGGGCGGCCTCCGCGCCACGGCGGCTCACGCACCGGCTCCGACACTTTCCTCTCCCTTTGCCGCAGCCTCGCCCGCCCGGTCCGCCCGCCGCCGCCTCTCCGCCTCCGCCTCTGCAGCCGCTAGCGCCGGCGGGATGCCGCTCCTCGAGCTACTTCCTCCCCGGCGCTCGCCCGGTGCAGCGGCGGGAAGTGGTCCTCATCGTCAGTCCTTCCCCCGGAACTCGCTTCTGCCGCCCAGAGGTTCCGGCGCGGCTCTCCTTTGCATCCAGGTCTTTCTATCCCGAAAGTGACTATAATACTTGGCGAGTTCTCCGCCGAACTGGCAGTATTTGAATACTGAAGCCTCCTTTAAAAAAATAAAAATAAAATAAAAATCTGTATTGTTAAAAAAAGAAAAAAATCTGTATTGTTGAAAGTATTACATATGTCCCCTTTTTCTCTCCATAATCCCCCTTCAGCCCCCCCACCCCACCCCCCAATTCCCCCTCTCCCCCTTCGCTCCAGGCCTTCACCACCCTGTTGTCTGTGGCTATGCATAAAGGTTTCTGGCTAAAGCATCCACATCGCTTCCTTGTTTTCCCCGGCTGAAGGCAATAGAAAGATGGGCCTAGTCACAGAAAGCTAGGGATTTTGATTTATTTGTAGCAGGTGAGTCTCCTGAAGGCACATTGACGGACACATGGGGTCCACATATATCTATCAGGCCCCGACTATGTGCAAACTGCTGAGCATACACAGCCATATCAGAAATAGACTCCACCGTGGGGAGTCCCCACACTTGAACTTTCAAGATACCAGAGTTTTATCCAGGATTCTAAGGCTATGTGTCAACTTGCCCTTTCACTTAATATTAACCACTAGGTACTAATAGAACACTTCTGAGGGTGGGGAGAACTTTTAAATTTGTTATTTGCTCGATTTTTCCACAGCACGTAGCCAGTGAGTTTTACTATATATTTAGGGGGGGGGGGGGAAGGGATGGTAGAGTAGGAGATACAATTTCAGTAATATCAGTGAAACACTTGGTGGTTTCCTAATAAATATACAAGTTGCCGTTAGCACAAATGTAACCAGATTTTCCTTTAACGATTCTTCACGCGGGATCTTCAAAGGTTTGTCCAGTTGGTTCTGAAAGAGGAAGAATACCTTTTGTTAATTAACTTGTAGTGGAGAATGCATGGCCTTTGGGTCTAGACACCCATAGTTTCAAATCCCAGCCCTGTGACTGACTAGCTTTGTGATTTTGGCCAGATTTCTTGGTGCTCTACCCTCAGCAAACTGTATATTCTGAAGGGAGGAAACATTCTCATCAGTGGGTGCAAAGTATCAGGCAGAGAGATATATAGAAGAAATAGGGGTGGGCTGTTGCTAAGTTCACGTGATGCTGTTTAATGAAATAGGTTGATAAATTGGCTATTAAATGCTAAGCAGCTCTGACCGTTTTTGGCTCAATGGATAGAGCATTGGCCTGTGGACTGAAGGTCCTGGGTTTGATTCTAGTTAAGGGAATGTACCTTTATTACAGGCACGTCCCCAGTAAGGGGTGGGCAGGAGGCAGCTGATCAATGTTTCTAACTATCTCTCTTTCTTCCTTTCTGTAAAAAATCAATTAAAAATATATTTTAAAAAAAACACCCCACACACAAACACTGAGCAGGAAAGCCAAAGGATTTCCTAGGTAACAAATACAGGGGCTCTCCTCTTCTGTAAGCTGAGGACCAGATCCAGGACTTAATCATGAGAGTAGCAGAGACTCAGAGAAGATTAAATTCTCAATATTGGCAAGTCTGCTATGCCCAGGAAAGGGTACTAGCTGGGAACGAGTGGAACCTCCACAATGGAGACATCTGGCAGAGTACACACAGGACTGGCTTCGGAAGGTGGGAAGGTGCCGGAACAAGGGGACAGAATACAAAGCTGAATAGGGGAGACTTAACTCTCTTCTGGGAGACGGGACCTAACGGCCATGGCAGAGATCCCAGGAGACAGTACAAACATGCCACTAGCACAGAGAGTGACGGCCCATCCTAAAGGCAGTCACGATGCCAGGATTACCATGCAAGGCCATGGAACAAGGGATTAAAATAAAAAAAAAGTGAGCAAGCGAGAGTGGACATACATGCAAGCCTGGAAAACCCACAAGACAGTTATAATCCAGGCGAGGGACCGGAGGGCACATGCTTTTGATACCTCATCCCATTGCCCACCCCACTCCCCCTTTAAAAACCATCTGCTTTGGGTCTTAAATAACTGAAGAGAGAGAGAGAGAGAAAGAGAGAGAGAGAGAAGAGAGAGAGAGAGAGAGAGAGAGAGAGAGAGAGAGAGAGAGAGAGACCAAGTTCCTTCCACTCCTGCCATAGCTGGCACTTATGAGGCCTCAGGAAATGCCACTGGGTGACGGTGACCATAGACTAAGCTGTCCATTATAATTACTATCCTTCGTCGTTTTTAGGTGGCATCTTCCTATTTCTGGAAAATTCTTCCATTTAAAGGCCAAAGATAAGCTACCAATGGGGCACACCTTACTCTTTATTTTTTGTTCTAAAACAAATATAGACCGTATGACAGAAAACTTACAAAATAAAGAAAAACCCCCACACCACCTTCCGAGCACAGCGATGTTAATCATTCAGATTTTAACCGTCCCTCCTCGCCTGCCCGCGCATCCTCGCACCCCGCGTTCTGCCCGGTGGGTGCAGCGGTAGCCGTCGCCATGGTAACCGCGGACGCCGGGATCCGGGAGCTGAGAGTGCGCAGTCGGGGTGTCCAGGGCCCAGGTGGGCGTGTGGGGAACGGGCACCTCCCCACGGGCTGCTGGGCGGGAGGAGCTGGCGGGAGGCAGCTTTGCCTCTGACCCGGGCTGTGCGGAGCGGGTCCCGCCTCGGGGATCAGAGAGGTCCCTGAGGGATTCAGGCTGAAAGGCGAACTCTGTTGCCCCCTCTGCCCCTCTTTGCAGGCCTGCCACTCACGGTCCTCTTCCTCAGGCCTCCCCTTTGGACCTTTAGCTCTGGGGACCTTCCAGAGCCGGGACAAGGGACTACCACCACCTCAGCTGCCTTGACTGCCTCCTCACTGTTTGTTTATGCTACTCCTGTTGCCCAGGCTGTCCTTTTCTCCCCCTAGTGAGACTCCTGCTCTTCAAAACTGAAGGGCCACCTCTTCTGGAAAGCCTTTCCGGGACCTGCCAACTCTGAGTCTACTGTAGATGTCCATTCTCTACTCTCAAATCACCCCTTGCTAATCTCCATTATAGCCCATATCCTGGTCATCGCTGACTCACTGAGTCTTCCCCACTAGACTCTAAAGGCCAACGGGGCAAGGACCATGACCTATGTGGCTGCCTACTGTTAGTGCCTCAGCAGCCCCCAAAGAGCTCCCGCTTGAGAATTCAAAGGAAAAGCCGGAAAAGCCGATGGGCTGTTTTCCCATAAGAAGTCAGTAAGTCGTTTTCACAAAAGCGTGTTGCCTGAGGCCACAGTTACCTCAAGGTTCAACAGCAGCAGACCCACTTCCAAGTTCAATCCGTGGTTGGTGAGTTTAAGGTTCTCTGGGCTGTTAGACTGAGGGCCTAGGTTCCTTACTGGCTCTGGGCGAGAGGTTGCCCATGTCTCTTTCCATCATAGAATGCGAGAAGAGTCAGGGACAGAATGCCAACAAGACAAAAGTCCTGCCTGTTGTAAGTGCATTATGGAAGTGACATCCCCTCCCATTAGCACAGAATCACCACGTCCTGCCTTCTTCACGAGGAGAGGACCGCACAAAGGCGTGCATACCAGGGTGCAGGGGGAGCAGCTTTGGGAGCCATGTCAGAGCTGCCCACCACATGGAGTGTCCCTGTAATGTAATCGTTTTAACTACTATGCACTCTCTTGTGTAATTGTGTCACAGTTTGTGCTCCTGTTAATGGGCACTGTCTCCCCCGCCCAGGCTTTTTGCTCTATGAACAGTGATGCTACAAGCTCTCTCACACATATGCAGGGGCCAGACCCTCTTCTCTGTATCATTTCCAATTTCATACGAATTATGCCAGCGTGAGCACTGTTAAGCCTTCCAACTGGAATTAATCTTGTCCCTTGTAAGTTTCCATAGCACTTCATCTCATGTGATAAGGTACTTAGCATCTATCACCTTTTATCACACTTATTTTGCACAGGTCGCCTTTTGTCCCTTAAAAAACTAAGTTGTTTAGGGCAGGAAATAAAGTTGATTCTTCTTCGTAATTTATGTAATGCCTATATAGCACTTAGTATATTAGTAAGCTTTCAGTACCCATTACTGAGAGACTGAATTCTGTCTGAACATCAGTGACTAATTTTTTTTAAGGTCTTAATAATCTGGCTCCGATGATGCAACTATTTTTTCACTCCTCCCCAGTTTGACCCATGTTTAGGGAAGTGGATCTCTCTCTAACACCCTCTTTCAATCTTTCCCCAATGAGTCTAGCCTGCATTGCTCTCTGCTGTTTCTATTTTTTTAAAATAAATTTTATTGTTCATATTATTACAAATGTTCCTCTCCCCCCTCCCCATTGCTCTCCTCATTGGGGTGAAGACCAGGTTCCCACCCCACCCTCTGCCCTTTCCCCACCCCCCATTGTCCTTATCCACAGTGCTGTTCCTATTGAATTTACTATGTTCAGCATTTTTGAATGTATTCAGGCAGTGCATCGACTGTATTGACTTATGGTAGGTGCGCAATAAATTTTGTTAATTGAATGGATGAGATATATTATAATTACTTTTAAGCCAGTTAAGAATTTTCATCCCATCTACATTGTCAGTGGACTGGCTGAATCAGTCAATAAATAAATGATAATTTGTCTGAGTAGATTTTTATTTCTCTCTCTCTGTCTGTCTCAGGTATTTTTGGAGTTAATGGATCTAGAAGAAGCCCCAGACTCAGAGGGTTCAGAAAAATCAGAACTTTTCTCACAGAAGGAAGAAGAAGAATTTGACGAAGGAGAAGAGGAGGAAGACGAGGAGCAGAAAGAGGAAGAGGAGGAGGAGGAAAAAGGGGAGGAGAAGGTAAAGACAGGCCTTCTTAATCCTCTCTTGCAACCCATTCTCACAGGGGATGTAGACAGTTTGCAGAAGATTTTTGAGGATCCAGAGAACCCTCTTTATGACCAGGCCGAACACCTCCTCTTGGAAGAAGACATTGTCAGAAGAAATTTGTTGTATGCAGCTTGCATGGCTGGGCAAAGTGAAGTGATTAGAGTTTTGGCAAAATATGGCGTGAATCTGAATGACAACACAGCCAGAGGTATTTTGCCTTTATTTATTTATTTATTTATTTATTTAATCTCATCAGTATTACTTATGACTACCTAAAGGTGGATAAATAGAATGTGCCTGCTTTATATTTTGCATATATAATGTATACACACATAGATAAGAATGTGTGTGTGTGTATACACATGCTGATACGGTACAGCATAGTAGTTAAGAACTCAGACTTCACTATTTGCTGTGGGACTTGGGGGCAAGTTACCTCATCATTTTGTATTTCTCTTCATCTGCAAAATGGGGTTAATAATTGGATATCCCTCATAGGGTGTAACCATCAAATCAGAATTATAAATATCACAGTCCTTGGTACATAGCAAGGTGGTAGACCGTAACCGCTCAATGCTATTATTACAATGACGAATCTGGAGGAGTGTAGTCCGTTTGGCCTGACCAGAGTCTTCATGCTGTCTGTCAGGTTATACACTCTTACACTGCGCTGCAGCCTGGGGGCGCCTGGAAACTTTGAAAGTGCTCGTGTTGGAACTGGATGTTGACATAGAAGCTCTGAACTTCCGGAAAGAGCTGGCTCGAGATGTGGCTGCTCGGTATTCCCAGACCGAGTGTGTTGAATTCCTGGACTGGGCAGGTAAGGACACACACACACAACTGAGCCAGTACTAAGCTGACTGGTTCAGTTGTATGTGTGCCGTGCTTCCATCCAAGGTCAAAAAGTCATACTAATATTTTGTCTGTCATTTCCACAGCCCTGTAGAATATGGCTGAGAGATTTGCATGCATACAAACATTGGTTGAACAATTAGTAAATATGAAGTTCGTGGCATTCATTTTATGCAGTAATTTGCACTTGTGTGTTTAGCAAGCATTTAATACATGCTCACTGAGCATTGTTGTGGGTACAATGGTTGTTCCTGCCCTCTGGACATTTGTTAGGTACATATCAGTAATAATATCGGAGACACTATGATGAAGGGTTAAAATCAGCAGAGTAGATCATCATACATGCTTTGAAGTGGACGGAGGTCATGAAGTCATGCATGTGGGAGGTGAGCTGGGCCTTGAAGAGTGGGTGGGATTTGAAAATACAATAGAAGGAAACGGGCGTGAGCTAACTCTAAGAGCTGGGAGTGAAAGTAAGTGGCATGTATGAAGGACAGTGACAAGACTGCTTTACTGGAACACAAGTCCTAGTTGGCACAGGGAAGCTGCAGAGTAATAAAAGCATAAGTTCATGGGCTCTTGCCTCAGAATGTTGAATTTACGTAGGGGTATCTCCACTTGAAACCTATGACCTTGGACAACCTCCCCCCCCCCCCAAACAAACAAAACAAAAAACAAAAAATAAAAAAACACACACAAAACAACCCACAACACCCCACCCATTTCTGAATGACCCCTAGTACTTTAGAAACACAATCCAGGGACAAATTGTGCTATTACTTTTCTGAAAAGAAACATTTTGAGGTGTATGTGTGTGGAGTTTTATTGTTTTTCTCTTCCTAATTTCAATCTGTTTTGTTTGGGTCCTTACGTTCTCAGGGCAATGATACCTATCATTTCCTAGTGATGAAGATGAAAGGTGCCAATGCTATCAACTATTATTCTGTTTGCAGACCAGTGATAGAATTGTAAGGATTGGTGCTTCAAGTGCACGTAGCTCTGGAATGTCAGAAACACAAACTATTCCACATTCCACATTTGTTTAATTCAGACTTTCAAGTGTATGTCACTTCCATTCCCTGTCCTAGTGATCAGAGTAGGAGGCATCTGGAAAGGTTTAAGAGGTTGAGGATTCCCTAATCCAAAGAGTCTTCTCCACACTGCTGAAAATCCCACTGTTAGAAAAAAATTTCTTCGGATTTTCAAGGTTTGGACACTTTTTAAGTGTTCAAGAGTCCTCCATTAAAAGAAAAATACATCAGCATTCTCTGAGCGGCAATGAGTTAATAGTTCAAAATGCCAAAGGGATGGAACAAACATCTGTGGGAATGTGGGAAGAGTTGCGCTAAGGAAGCATGGAAGGAGGAAAGTCTGGATAGTGGAACCATAAATAAACTTGAAAAAAGAGTTTTATTGATTTCAGAGAGGAAGGGAGAGGGAGAGAAGATAGAAACATCATTGATTGGCTGCCTCCTGCAGGCCCCTTACTGGGGATTGATTGAGCCTGCAACCTGGGCATGTGCCCTTGACTGGAATTGAACCAGGACCCTTCAGTCCCCAGGCCAACGCTCTGTCCACTGAGCCAAATCAGCTAGGGCCAAGGATTGATTTTTAAAAATTATTGAAGACAGTATTACAGATGCCCCTCCCTCCTTAAGCTCTTTCTATCCAGCCTTAGATCTTGTATATATTTCTGAGATTTTTCATGTTTGTAATCAAACTTTCTGTCCTAGTCTCAGATCAGTGCCCCAGTATTTGTTGGAAGATATGGTAACCATATTGTTAAAAAAAAAAATTGAGACATCTGAGCAACAAAACTCAAATTAAAGAAAAACATGTTGATACTCAATTCATCATTTATTATACTAAAAATGGGAAAAATATTTTAAAAATTAATTTGTTACTTGATACTTTCATACTATTCTAGCAAAGGCATCCGAGATGAGAAATTAAGTCTTCTTGTGGCCATAACATTTGCTCAGGAAAGCAAGGAACGTCACAAATATTATTTAAATCAGAGATTTATTAAAACACTAAAGATTCTAATTTACAGATCAATTAATGATTTGTAATGTGATGCATTAAAAAGAACAAAATACATAAATCTGAAGCAGCGACTGTGGACCATCTTTTCCCCAGTACTTTAGTAAGTATGGATGCCTTTTCAGCTGAATAGAAATATCTTCACTTTGGGCTCCTTTGAAAAGTTTCAGTAAAGAATGTGACCAAAAAAAAAAAAAACAATGAGAAGGGCTCACAGAGAACCATGCTGAACCTCATACGAGGTCTCTCCTAGGTGCTTTGTGTGGTCTCCATTTTGGACGCAACCTGCACATGTTTCTGGTGTCCTCTGGCTCCTCCTCGGTTCTTATACTTGAGCTTTCCGTGCTTGAATTTCTTAGACGAAGGACACTGGGCCTTCTGGTCCAGGTACTCACTCATCATGGACGTCGTGGCCAACAGTTTGTACAGCAGTTGGTCTATGTCATTGATGGACTGGCTTTCTGGTTCATTACTAATTGTGTCTATGGAGGCTTGCTTTTCTACCTAACAGGGAGGAAAGCACATGAAATTATAGGTTGTTTTCTTACTCTAGTTCAAATGAAATTTTCTGGATAGCTATGTTGAAACACCACGTATTACTTATGTATATGAAAGGAAGGTCATTACAGAAAACAGGTCTGAGGATGGTAGAAATGCTCTTTCGTGTATCCCCTGTGAAAGAGGATGATAATATCATCAACAACAAACATTTAAAAGGTGCTTATTATGGTTAGAGTATCCTGTTGGGAGAAGTTGTTTGAATATTAGGAAAATATTTCCCTTCACTAAACAGCTTCAAAGTATAAGGCAGTAACATCAGGGTCATTTCATAGCAATATGTTTATGGTAAAAGTCAATGAGCTTTTAAGATTGCCTCAAAATATGGTGCTATTGGCACAGTAGGAAATTTAAGAGTGCCATTTCCCAGAAAGTTATCCAAACATTACACATTAGTTTACAGTCCATTTAAAAAATACATGCCAACTTTCACATACTTAGCCTTCTTAGACAGACCTGGAAGGAATCTAACATATCTTATTCCACATCCTTCATTTTATTGGTGAGGCAGCTGAGAGAGATCAAATGACTTACCTCTGCGCCCAGACAGGTAACTTCATTTCCTCTACATTCTACCCATCGTGGCTCATTACTTTCTTGATGCATTTTGTAACTTGAAAGGGGGGGATTGTACTAGGTTATTTTAAGGACCTTCTAATTTAATACTGATTAGTTGAGCACCTACTATATGCCAGCCACTGTGCTAGATGCTGGGGGTGAATGGCGGGGACTGCAGAAGATTGCAGGGAGGAAAAAGACATTGTACTTTCCTTCAAAGAAGCTGGTAATCTTGTCTTTTAAACTCTGATATCCTATGACTATTACTATTTGCATCGTTAACTTACTTCTTTCTTATGTCTCTTCCACTTCATCCACAGGTAATGCACAGATAAAGCAAGCAGGATTAGAGAGATAGCTTGTCCTAAAACAAACACGAGATGTACAAGACTCGCAATTGTATCCAAATTAAAAAAATTGCACCATAGTTTGTCCATAGGGTAAGGTAAACAGTGAGATGGAGCCGGCTCAACTTTCAGATACAGCATTTCTTCAGGAAGTATCTCCCATCCAACCTTAGCCCAGATAGTTCCATCACAAATGCAGGAACTTTCCTTCAATAAGCAGACAAACAACAGAAAAAACATCAGGGGTAGTCCTTGAATGAACATCTTTCTCAATTGGGACATTAAAAAACAAAAACAAACAAAAAGAAACTATGGCCAAAACTCTGGTTAGAGACAGAGCAGGAATGCCCTGAGCACTAGTAAATGAGAACTCTGAAGGTTGTCTTTCTACTTGGCACAATAAAGACTGCTGATCATTGTGACATCATCAGTCAGAGTGATTCATGGACAGAGTCAGTGACATCATAACCACGTTGGAACTAAAAGGTGTTACTTAGCCAGTCACCCGGGGATACTTTTTCTTACTTTATACTAGAATTATTTGAGCTACTTCAATTTTATGAAAAAAAAAAAAACTTTAGTAATGTCTTGCTAGCTAATTAATTAAAACTATAATCATATTAATGGAGTTTCATGGAACCAATTTAACTATATCTCTTCCAACTCTTCTCAAGGATAGCTGTTTTATATCTACTTTAAAAATATCTGTAGCCATGCCATTTTACACAACCTACAATTGCTTCTGTTTTTCACTCTGAAATATTCTTCCTTTCAAACGGTTAAGCAAAAAAAGTACTTCCCTGCCAAAACTGGTTTGGCTCAGTGGATAGAGCGTCAGCCTGCGGACTGAAGGGTCCCGGGTTCGATTCCGGTCAAGAGCATGTAACTTGGTTGCAGGCACATCCCCATTAGGGGACGTGCAAGAGGCAGCTGATGGATGACTCTCTCATCAATGTTTCTAACTCTCTCTCTCTCTCCCTTCCTCTCTGTAAAAAAATCAATTAAAATATATTTTTAAAAAAGTACCTCCCCTTTTTAACCTATGCCCTTTTGGTAGCAATGTGGTACTATTAGGTAGTGGGTGAGGGGTGGGAAATGGACATGGTATGTGAAAAAAAAGATGAGATGGTGAGGGGCATGGCATTTGCTAAGACGACGAGACAGAGACTCTGAACTTAAGGATCTTATAATCTAGAGGTATAATAGAAGCAAAGAATAAGTTAATAAAAATTCCAAGATACTGTAGACTAAAATGAGAGCTAAATCAAATTATTATCATGTAACAGTTGATAGCACAATGAGTTTTACTTGGGACAATTAGGAGATTCACTGACGTGTATTTAAGTCAGGTTTGAAGAGTGAGTAGAATTTTGGTAGGAGGACAAGGCATCTTACATTGAGAAAACATAAGCAAGAAATTCTGCGTAAACATTCATATAACATTTATTGAGCACCTCCTATATGCTAAATACTGTTCTAGGAACTTAGAATGCATATACAAGAAGGCACAAGACAAAATCTTTATGTTCATAGAGTTTCTAGTGGGGAGACATAGAAAATAGAAAATATATCTATGGAGTGCTATGGAGAACAACAAAGTAGAGCTGTCAGGGGTTGGCATGGCCCGCAAGTGGAGGGATGTGTGAGTGCGTGTGTTACTTCATCCAGGGCAATCAGGAAAGGCCTGTCTGAAAAGATGATACCTGAGGAACTGAAGGAGTGAGTCATGTTGACATCCGGGGACAGTGGGAACAGGAAGTAAATAATGAATAGACTCTCTGGGTGAATAAAGCTGGAAAGATAGCTTGTGGCTAGATAGACCTTGGAAGGCCTGTATTTTCTTCAGAAGCCAATCAGGAGTCATTTATAGAGTTTGCGGAGGAGCATGACCTGGTAAACTTATTGAGTGCTTTACTGGTATACCAAGCACTGTGCCAAGGTATTTGTATGCAGTATACTACATTTTGTCTAATCATTACAACTCCGTGAGGTCTGTATTATATTACTTACATTTTATGGATGAGAAAACTGAGGTGAGAGGGGTTAAGGAATTGCTGTGATCTGAATGCTTGAGTCCCTAGAATTTCACATGTTGAAATCCTAATGCCCAAATGATGGTTTTAGGGGGTGGGGGAGACCAGCAGGAATAAGGACATGTGGGTGGAGCCCCATAAATGGGATTAGTGTTCTTTAAAAAAAAAAAAAAAAAAAAAAAAAAAAAAATATATATATATATATATATATATATATATATATATATATATAATTGATGTTTTTACAGAGAGGAAGGGAGAGGGATAGAGAGTTAGAAACATTGATGAGAGAGAAACATCAATCAGCTGCCTCTTGCACACCCCCTACTGGGGATGTGCCCCCAACCAAGGTACTTGCTCTTGACTGGAATCGAACCTTCAGTCTGTGGGCCGACGCTCTATCCACTGGGTCACACTGGTCAGGGCGGGGGGTTAGTGTTCTTTTGAAAGAGTCTCCACAGAGTTCTCTAGCCCCTTCCACCTTGTGAGGATGCATTAAGAAGGCCTTGGGGCTTTGAAGGAAGAGGGCTCTCACCTGACTACAACCATTTTGCTGCCTGATCTTGAACTTCCAGCCATCAGAACTGTGAGCTAGTAAATTTCTGTTCCTTATAAGTTACCCAGTCTGTGGTGCTTTGCTATCGCAGTCTGAATGGACTAAGACAGGCATGGTGGCATTGAGAGGATGCTTTCAATAATCTCCTTTCTCTACCAAGCCACCCAAAATAAATATGTTCTCTCAATAATATCAGCGTGCTTATTATACAAATGCAGTTTTGTGATAAACCCCTTAGCTCCCTCTTTCAATGAGTCCCTTCCCTAAACTCCACTCTGTATTGAAATTGTGAGACCACCACTGACTCCAGGTCTCCCAACTAGTGGAGCCAAAATGTAAACCTCGGTTTCCAGTTTAGGGGATTCGTTCTGTTTGCAACATAAAGGATAGGTTTGAAGCTGTGAAGGGCCTGAAGCAAGAAAGCCAGTTAGCTTGCGCATATACATTAATACTATTCCATGTGTGGGTCAGAATTGGAATCTGGAAGGTGCTTTTATTTTATTTAAAAAATATATTTTATTGATATTTTACAGAGAAGAGGAAGAGAGAGAGAGAGCTAGAAACGTCAATGAGAGAGAAACATCAACCAGCTGCCTCTTGCACACCCCCTTCCGGGGATGTGCCCACAACCAAGGTACATGCCCTTGACTGGAATTGAACCTGGGACCTTTCAGTCCGCAGACCGATGCTCTACCACTAAGCCAAACCGGTTTCGGCTGGAAGGTGCTTTTATTATGTTTACTTTACACATAGGCCAACAAGGCTGAGAGAGATAGGTGCTATAGATGACCCAATTGAGCTTTACAGTGATTTCATTAAGCCTCTCAAAAATTCCTATTTGGAATTACATATACAAGATTGTGTATACTGGTTGTGGTAGGCTGGATAATGCTCCCCCTACCCCCTGTTACCCAGGTCCTACTGTTACACATCAAAAGGAACTTTGCAGATATGATTAACTTAAGGATCTTAACATTGGGGGAGTATCCAGTTGGGCTCTAAATAGAATCACAAGTGTCTTTCTACGAGGGAAGAAGAGGAGTCTTTGGCACAGAAGAAGAGAAGGGGATGTGGTGCTGGAGGCAGAGGGAGGAGGCTGCTCTCTGAAGCTGCACCAGAAGCCGAAAAAGATGAGGAACAGGCTTTCCCCTTAGAACCTCCGAAGGAATCAGCCTTGCCTTCAGCCCAGGGAGACCGAGTTTGGACGTCTGGCCTCACAGCTGGGAAAGAATTACCCAGCGTTGTGTTAAGCCATGGTTGGTGGTGATTTGTTGCAGTAGCTGTAGGAAACTAATCCAGAAGTGGGTGCCTGCAAACGAGGTGCAGCTATAAGAAATGCCTAAATGGGTGGAAGTGGCTTTGACATTGGGTAATGCGGAGATGGAAGCATTCTGAGATGCGTGGTGAAAAAAAGCCTTGTGTAGACTGTTGGTAGAAATATGGACGTTAAAGCAGGTGAGGGCTCAGAAGGAAATGAGCAAGCTGGAGGAGCGGTGATCTTGTAGCACAGTGGCAGGAAGCTTAGCTGAATTATTATATAAGCAAATGTGGGCATTTAGCTGAAGGGATTTCGAAGCCACGTGCTGAAGATGTGACCTGAATTCTTCCTGTTGCTTCTAGTAAAATGTGAGAGGAGTCAAATAAATTGAGAAAAGAACCTACTGTGCAGAAGGAAAACAGGACTTGATGTTTTGGGAACTTCTCAGCCTATCGGGATCGAAAAACTGCCTACATGAAGAGAATCACCGTCAGGAAGGGTTGCTCTGGAGAGACAGCCGGGGGTGTGCTACCCGTGGTGTGCTGGTGCCGGGGAGCTCAGGCATGCTGCCTGAGGGTCCCCGCGGCCATCTCTGCAGAAGTCAGGCCAGAAAGGAGATTGTCCAAGAGGACCTGTGGTGGAGCCTCTTGTCCAATGGAATGAATCCTGTGACATGCAGGGGAGACTCAAGGATTCTGTGGATGTTATACTAGCAGACACCCTTCCAGTTTGGACAAAGAGATGAAGAAAGAACAAAAAGAAGAAAAAAAAAAAAAAGAGAGAGAGAAGGCTGCCAGACTCCCCAAAGTCTACACACAGGCACTGACCGATGAAACTGTTCAGCTGCAAAAATGTGCTATGGGTCACGAAGAGGGACGGATGGCTCTGCTGGAGCTGCAGGCTGAGCAGGGAGCCTTGCTCTGCACAGGGTTACTCCCAGGCCTTGCATAATAGTTTGCTAAATGGGATTTTGAAATTACTCTTTTTCTCCTTCCATTTTCTCCCGTTTCGAATGGCAGTGTCTACAACTGTTACTTGGTGCCTGTCCCACCCTGTATTTTGGGAATAGAGAGCTTGTTTTCTAGTTTCACGGGTCTACAGATGGAGAGGAATTCTACCCCAGCGAGGAAGGGACATACCGAAGTCTCACCCATGTCATCTAGATGATTTAGATCAGTGGTCGACAAATTCATTAGCCAAGAGCCAAATAGCAACAGTACAACGATTGAAATTTCTTTTGAGAGCCAAATTTTTTAAACTTAAACTTCTAACACCACTTCTTCAAAATAGACTCGCCCAGGCTGTGGTATTTTGTGGAAGAGCCACACTCAAGGGGCCAAAGAGCCACATGTGGCTCATGAGCCTCAGTTTGCCAATCACGGATTTAGATGATGAGATTTGAGACTAGTTAGCTGATGATATTTTCAATGAACATTAGGAAATTAATGGATGCTGTAATTGGTTTGAGACTTTTGGATGCTGGGATGGGGTAAACGTAATTTGCATGTGGGATAGCTGTGGATTTTGGAAGGCCAGAGGACCCAAATGCTGTGCTGGTTGAGTTATCTTTCTTTTTCTTTTTTTTAAAAAAAAAAATATATATATATTTTATTGATTTTTTTTTTTTTTTTTTTTTTTTTTTTTTTTTTTTTTACAGAGAGGAAGGGAAAGGGATAGAGAGCTAGAAAAATCAATGAGAGAGAAACATCAATCAGCTGCCTCCTGCACACCCCCTGCCGGGGATGTGCCCACAACCAATATACCTGCCCTTGACCGGAATTAAACCTGGGACATTTCAGTCCGAAGACCGACCAACGCTCTATCCACTGAGCCAAACCAGTTTCGGCGAGTTGTTATCTTTCTCAAAATTCAATGAAAACAAACACAAAAAAATCTCCACCCAGTCCCTTTAAGCTCTGCCTATGTAACAGTCCATTACAAACAGTTGAGCACATTTTTTGGTCTTTGTCTTATTTTTGTACATCTTACTGTCTATTCTTTCAGCTGCAAGGCTGGCTCTGAGAAAATATATTATGAAGGTCTCTACAACTCTTGCAGAATTAGAAAAGGGACCAGGGAGACTCTTCAAAGAAGACAAGGTACTACTTTGCAATCATTGCTTGTTCTGAAGTCTTTTGAGATTTTTCACTTTATGTCTTTCATTTTACACTAACGCTCTAGAGGCAGGCGGCGGCCCTTTCTGCTCTCTTCTCCTTCCATTTTCCTTCCCTCCTCCCCTTCCTTCCCTTCTCCCTTAAAGGCTGATAAGAGATGGACTAATAAATAGTAATGAAAGGCAGTGTCCTTGGCAGCCCCAGATCTGTCTCTTGCTTCGACAGTGTTTGGACGGAACAGACCCAAAGACGCCCCTTCTTCCAGCCTCCGACCCCCGTCCAGCATCTTATCCGCTCACCACCTTCAGCACCGCCTCCGGGACCAGCCAGCACACCGGCTTCTTCTCTACCTTAACTCCTTATGGCCGAGCAACCATGAGCTCCCACATTCATCAGAATTTCCCAGAACAACCATGAGCTCCCACATTCATCAGAATTTTCCAGAACAACCATGAGCTCCCACATTCATCAGAATTTCCCAGAACAACCATGAGCTCCCACATTCATCAGAATTTTCCCACCGAAGTGGAGGCTGCGGTCAACCACCTGGCCCCCGCCTCTGCGGGCCGCCCACACCTACCTCTCGCTGGGCGTCCATTCCACGGAAGATGCGGCTCTCCAGGGCGCGGGCCAGTTCCTCCGAGTGTTGGCGGAGAAGAGGCACGAGGGCTCCGAGCGTCTCTTAAAGATGCAAAACCAGCGCAGCGGCCACATTCTCTTCCAGGACAAGCTGAAGCCTCCCCAGGAGGAGGGGCAGAACTCAGGACGCCGTGGAAACCACCCTGGCCTTGGAGAAGACCGGACCCAGGTCCTTTCAGAGCTGCTCTGGGTTCTACCCGCAGGCCCTCAGCTCCGAGACTTCCTGCAGAACCACTTCCTGCGGAACCACTTCCTGCAGAACCACTTCCTGCAGAACCACTTCCTGCAGAACCACTTCCTGCAGAACCACTCTTGGTGACATGCATTAAGAAGATGAGCGACACCTGACTAACATCCACAGGCTGCGGGCCCAGGCTGGGCTGGCGAGTATCTCTTCCAAAGGCTCCCCCTCAGGCACCACTAGAAGAAGCCTCTGGAGCCCAGAGGCCTCTGAGGGGCCCACTGCCTCCCCTGGTGTCTGCCTGGTGCCTGAGCCTCTCCCCGAAACTACTAGCCATTCTTTTAACCGCCCTGAAGCCCTTCCCCATGCACTGGACCGAATGAAACAGTAAAGCTTTTTGCAGCAAGATAAAATAAATAATGACATCATATTAAAGAGTGACATAGAGATGTACTAAGTATCTCACCCAACAACATGAATGAATCTTAGAATTGTGCTGAGTGAAAAAAATTCACCAGACTACATAGATTTTTATAAATCTATAAAATTTATAAATTTGTAAGTCAAAAGCAAGCAATATCAAACTATATTGTTAGGGATGCCAACAGATGGGATAAAACTATTTTATTTTATTTTTATTTTTTTAAAATATATTTTATTGATTTTTTTTTTATTTTACAGAGAGGAAGGGAGAGTGATAGAGAGTTAGAAATAGCGATGAGAGAGAAACATCAATCAGCTGCCTCCTGCATACCCCCTACTGGGATATGCCCATAACCAAGGTACATGCCCTTGACCAGAATTGAACCTGGGACTCTTCCAGTCAGGGCTGGAGTTAAACTATTTTAAAAGGAAAGCAAAGATACAAGCCTCTTGAGGTGGGCAGGGGATGAGGTCGGGAGGGCACAGAAGCAGGGTTAATAGTCCTGAAGGTGTCTGTCTGCATCTTCTGTTCGGAGAGGACCACTGACACTCATTATTGTGCTTCAAAACAGACCTGCATCATGTGTTTTAGTGTATCTGACAATATCCACCACTACATACTTTTATCAATGTATCACAGTTTACATAATGGTATAAAAGATGCACAGCTATAAAGGTAGCTTGTCATATTTGCTGCATACCGAGTACTGCATGTGGACTAGTGTTCTGCATTTGATGTGGGCGCGCGCGCACACGCACACGCACACACACACACACACACACACACACACACTCATACAAAAGATATACTCAGTATCAGGAATGTGTTTTGATGTTGTTTCCTGCATTTCTCTGCAGGATGTTCTGTGAATTTTCTTGTAACTTTCTGATGAAAAGAATTAGATATTTCTTTTTTTAAAAAATATATTTTATTGATTTTTTACAGAGGAAGAGAGAGGGATAGAGAGTTAGAAACATTGATGAGAGAGAAACATCAATCAGCTTCCTCTTGCACACCCCCCCACTGGGGATGTGCCCGCAACCAAGGTACGTGCCCTTGACCAGAATCGAGCCTGGAACCTTTTAGTCCACACCCCGACGCTCTATCCACTGAGCCAAACCAGTTTCGGCAAGAATTAAATATTTCTAAAGCATAGAGATCACCAAGTCTGGGGCCGTGTTAAGTTACACATTTCACTCGTGGTTTGTAAAGCACATTACAAGATCTCTTATGAAACCAACAAAACATAGGCAAAATGAAGCTCACATGAAGTAGCTGCCACTTTTTTAGCACTCAGTGGCCATATATGTTACACATGTGGCTGTATTGGGCAATGCAGACTCAGATCGTCACAGAAAGTTCTGGTAGGCAGTGCTGGTGTAGAGATGTACAGAGTTTTGTTTTTCAATAATTAAGTACATTTTCTGGGTTTGCCTCTAGAATACCATCCTCAATGCGTGCCGTTTAAGGAGTGACTGGTTGGAAACCCATTTGGAAGCTTTGATCAATGAGATTTTTGAGCAGAAACAACAGTTGGAAGATATTGTGACTCCTATCTTCCTAAAAATATCTACACCACGTAAGTTTGGGATAAAAAGTGGTTTGAATGTCAGAAGTATGGTGACAGGAGGAGACTTGACTTTGCCCACAGGCCGACGCTCTATCCACTGAACATGTCCACTTTGGGTCAACAAATACAACATACAGATGACATATTATAGAATGGTACACTTGAAGCCTATGCAGCTTTATTAACCAGTGTCACCCCAATAAATTTAGTAAAAATGTACAATCTATCTTCATTTGTGTTTTATATTGAAAAGTGATTAAATGGACCTTTAAACATCTGCTTCCTTTCAGGTCAAGTGAGAAGTGCCAAGTCTGTAACCTAAGCCTTGGTCAGAAAGGAAGCCACAACCACGCCTTCTACGGAGCAGATATTTGTTTAAAAAGCCACATGTTCTTCCAGTATCTGTAAAGCCACACCTACTCATGACAACGGAAGCTGAGGACATCCATGTGGGGTTTTATAAAAATGTTTGAGTATGAAACGGGATCCGCCCTGTTCTGTTTCGCCCTCGTCAGCGTGCTCACGTCCGAACTCTGACCTTGACTGCTCCCTCGGGTGCAAGCCCCCGCCAGCTCCGCCTGCTCCTTCCACAGCGCGCTTAGGAGCGAATCACTCACACAAACCACAGGGAGGCTTTAAAAGCTGGCCACAGAGCCTAGTCACCTTCTGTATGATGGAGGCAGACGTTTCTGTTCAATTAGAGAATTCCTTTCAGAGAAGACACAGTGGCTATTTCCAGAGGCCAAATTTTTCTCCCTCTCTCCGAAGGAAAGCTATGGGATATCATTCTGAAGTAAGGAAGTATTAAGAGGAGTTTGGATCAGGATCCTCAGCTCATACAACTATTACTTTTTAAAAATACATTTTACTGATGTTTTTACAGAAAGGAAGGAAGAGGGAGAGAGAGTTAGAAACATTGATGAGAGAGAAACATCAGCCGCCTCCTGCACACCCCCCACTGGGGATGTGCACGCAACCAAGATACATGCCCTTGACCGGAATCGAACCTGGGGCCCTTGAGTCTGCAGGCCAACGTTCTATCCACTGAGCCAACTGGTCAGGGCCAACTATTATTTTTTATGTTCAAATTAAGATTTACCTGTAAGGTGGCATATAGTCTCTTAGTACACCTTCTTATTTGTCTTTAGCCTCATTCTGCCTTTAAATTAATAAACATAAATCTCTTTACTTTTATATTTAGATGTCTTCTATGCTGTAGGATTGGTAATGCAGCTATTATACCTGGACTCCACATCCATCTTCCTTCTGTTTTGTTTTATATTTTCTAGGTTTTTTAAATATCATAGTTGGTTTCATATTCGTGATTTGGAATATTTGGGATTTTTCCCCCTAGTTTTCCCGGAAGCCCCTGATCTACTCTTCTATGACTTTCTGGAAAAGTTTTACAGAAAGAAAATATTTTTAAAAACCACATTTATTTGTTTTTTTTCTTATGACTTTCTCTTCTTTATCTTACCCTGAAAGCTAGTTTTCATTACAGAGGTGAAGGAAAAGAAAAGCAATTCCATCACAGCTGTGGTTGTGAGATAACACTATTTTAAACTTGTCTCTCAAATGTTAAAGTTTTGAGATCTCTTTTTATAGCTGAGCGATTCCGTTGCCTTAGAAAAAAGGACAGCAGACGCTGTGGGTGTTTGGGGAGGAGTAGAGAGAAGGAGCTGTGTGTTTGCTCTGTTCTGCCCCGCCTGTGTGCTGTGAGAAGCGCTGCAGTGATTTGGGACGAGGCCTGGGGCCATGTTTGTTGTCGCTACCCTAATTCTTCGTTTTCTGAGCCTCGCTCTTGGATATGATATTGCTCTCCAGGCAGGTGGTCTCCCTGACGAGAGAGGACTCCCGGCCTCACTGCAGAGCATCCTCCGTGAGAGCGAGGCACTCTGGAGGCCCCAGGGTAAAGTTAGCCTCTCTCTCCTTTATTCCCCTTTTAGTCGTTATCCTCAGATATTGTGTAGCTTTTGATCTATTTGCTAATGCTGACTCCCTGAAACTCTCTCTGTTGGCACCTTATGCCTTTATGGTTTCTTTGTATAAAGCATGTCAAATACAAAGACTAACACGGGCCAAATAAACAAAGTTTAAGTTTATGTGGGCCACAAAAAAACAAACAAACCCAAAGCTTCAATTTTCATACAAATGTAGTTTGCCCTAACCGGATTGTCTCAGTTGATAAAGTGTCATCTTGCGGACTGAAGTTGTCCCAGGTTCGATTCCGGCCAAGGGCACATCCTGGATTTCGGGCTCGGGCTCCAGTAGGGGGCATGTATGAGGCAGCCTATCAATGATTCTTTCTCATCATTGATGTTTCTTTCTTTTGTTAGAATATATTTTATTGATTTTTTACAGAGCAGAAGAGAGAGGGATAGAGAGTTAGAAACATCAATGAGAGAGAATCATCGATCAGCTGCCTCTTGCACACCCCCTACTGGGAATGTGCCGGCAACCAAGGTACATGCTCTTGACCAGAATCAAACCTTGGACTTTTCAGTCTGCAGGCTGATGCTCTACCCACTGAGCCAAACCAGTTTCGGCATCATTTATGTTTCTATCGTTCTCTCCTTCTCCCTTCCTCTCTGAAATTAATAAAGAAATATATATATATATATATATATATATATATATGTATGTATATATTTTTTTAAAAGAAAAAGCTTTTTAAAAAATGTAGGTTTATTTCTATAGAGACATGCTGAATATAAAGGGCTGAAAAAAATGAGTAATTGTTAACATAAAATAGAACATTTTAATAAAAACTAATATTCTTTCTTGAACACTAACTTACCAGACACTGAATAACTGCACAAATTAATAAGCGTATCACAAATAAACCTATTTTTCTTATTGTCTGAAAGTGAAACATTTCCTGTTGCGCACACCAAACAAGTCAGTCCAAGACTAGTGAGGTGCCAATCCGTTGTTAAAATGTTTGCTGCTGGTATTAGTGGAGAAGCGAATAAGGGAAATGAATGCAACACGGTTATAGTAATCAGTCATTATCAAACATTGTAGTTATTAATAATCTGTAATAATAAAAGCGTAATATGCTAATTCGACTGGATGTCCTCCTGGACGGATGAAGCCAGTCCAGTGCTGGAGGGAAGCCTCGGCCGGCAGTGGGGGAAAGGAAGACCCACTCTTGCACAGATTTCTTACGTTGGGCCTCTAGTTACATGTAACAGGGGATTGTAAAAATTAACGTACAACATTTTTATTAAAACATCTCTTACATTCTGTTATATTGGCTGGGCCACAGCAAAAAATATTAGCAGTGAGGCCCCTGGGCTGCGAGTTTGACATGTTCGCTGTACATTCTTACAAACTTTCCCCTCTTTCACCAGCTGCTGTGTTTGAGTTTCTCCCAAGTTCCTATGTTGAAATGTAATGCCAATGATAGGCTCGGAGGTGGGGCCTTTGGGAGGTGATTAGGTCATGTGGGCAGAGCCCGAATAAATGGGATTAGGTTGCCCTGGCACCGTGTGAGGTTATAGCATCTGGGAAGCAGGCTCTCACCAGACACCGGATCTGTTGGCACCACAATCTTGGACTTCCCAGCCTCCAGAACAGAAAGAAAGAAATGGCCGAAACCGGTTTGGCTCAGTGGATAGAGCGTCGGCTTGCAGCCTGAAAGGTCCCAGGTTCAATTCTGGTCAGGGGCATGTACCTTGGTTGTGGGCACATCCCCAGTGGGGGATGTGCAGGAGGCAGTTAATTGATGTTTCTCTTTCATTGATGTTTCTCACTCTCTATCTCTCTCCTTTCCTCTCTGTAAAAAATCAATAAAATATATTTAAAAAAAGAAAGGTTTTTTTTGGTGTTTTTTTTTTTTTTTTTTGCTTATAAGTTACCTGGTTTATAGTTTTTTTTGTTATAACAGCCCAAGCAGACTAAGACACAACCTCCTCTTTTCCATCTTGCCTCCAGCTTGACTTCTCCAAAATCAATCCTGTTTTATAATTTTACATGTCAATTATACCTCAATACGGCTGGAAGCAAGAAAGTCAGTTCCTACGCCGGGCGAAACACTCTGTAACCCCCCCACTCACGGCCTCTGTATCCCTAATGTTAGGGAGAAGGAATCCACGTGCTTTGGGGGTAACCATGGTGCTAACAGCCTCATGCTGTGTTCTGTGTAACCTTTCACATGTTTGTCTCCCCTTGTGAATCGTGCGCTTTTTGTGGGTAGGGGCTTGGTCTTGTTTCTCTTCATACCTAAAGAGCCTATAAGATAGTAAGAGTTGAATGAATTCTCATTGGGTGCTACCTGACTCATAGAACTCACTGGTCTTCAGTCATCAATAGAGCTTGGTCACCTTTACAAAAATGAGCCCCGAATCCCACTCTCCATACTGTGCTGTGCCAGAGCCCCGCCCCACTCCCACTCCTCCAGCAGACAACCTGCACACAACCAGCACCAGGACAGAATATCTAGTTTCGTCTGGGACAGTCACCTTGGATGCCACATGACTGCTTACGCATGTGAACACGGAGGGTTAGATTAGGTGTGACATAGGAATGAGAGAGTAGAATTTCATTATGACAAAGTAACTTCCTTGAAAGTAAACTACAGATTGATTAAGGTTCATCGGGTTAAATTTATACTGAATTTATTTTTCGTGATCAGAGTTGAGGCAAAAATGTATAAGTAAGGCATCACAGAACTTGGGGTGCATTTCTTCTCCGATGAAAGCAGGTGAGATTGTTTCTTCAAATTGGACCAAAAGCCAATGAAAAATAGGAGTCAAGGAGGAAAATGGGAGTGAGAAACTCCCACTGAAAAGAAAGGAGTGATAGAAAAAGGAAATAGAAAAGGATGAATGAAAAAGTCAGAGGGAGACAAGGCAGTATTGAAAAGGGTTAGGGTTGAAGAAAGAAAAACAGAGTATATCTTTTTAAAAATTTAGGAGGAGGTTCTGTCTACATGGTCAATGACCAGGTCAGCTATTATGTCAGGCAAGGAAAATCAGTTAAGACAGTTGCTGGTACAGACACAGCTTGAGCAGTAAGCAATACAAGCTTCCCTGGAATTGGATCACTTAGCTGCTTCTGGATTGGAGGTGGGGATGGTGTATGTAGCCAATCAGAATGAAAGTGAGTTGGCAAGAAACCAATAGGAATTGGCTTTCAGGGTGATAACAGTTGGCAGTACTGACCCTGGCAAACAGTCGCAGGGCTGAGTGAGCGTTGTTCTTGGTGGTTTTTGACAGCCTTCGTCTGGATTTCAGTTTGGAACCGCTGAGCCTCGAAAGATTCCACTGGTCTTGGTAGTTTTGGAGAACTTGATTTGAGAGTGAAGCTGGAGATACAGGA